GTCTCAGTGACACCCTCGGTTGGACGGTCACAGCCAGCTCACCACCACTCCCATTCCAGGTAGGAAGGGAAGATAAACGGAGCACAGACACCTCTATTTTAAGGATATGACCTGAAAATTGCAGAGGTCACTTCTGCTAATATCCTATTGGCCAGAATTCAGTCACATGACACTATTTAAATGCAAAGGGGCTGGGAAATGTGGCCGGCAGCCAGGGAGACCATGAAACCCAAGGGATTCTGTTACTGGAAAGAACAGGAGAGCTGGGTTGGGGGAGGTGGGAAGTGTTAGCAGGTTGTCAAAACAGACTAGCATAGTCTTTTATTTATTAAATAAACATCCTTCCCATCAATAGTCTAAGGATTCAGTTTTGGTTTTCTGTCTACAATAGGATTCTCAAGGACAGGGTGTCCCTGAAGCTATTAGCACCCCCGCTTGTCCTAAACTCACTGACATTAAGTTGACCATCATTAGAGCGTCATCCCAATACACCAAGGCTGCAGGTCCAGTTCCTGCTCGGGGCACATACGAGAATCAACCAATGAGTGCATAAATAAGTGGAATAACAAATTGATCCCCCCCTCTAAAATCAATAAATTAAATAGATCCAGTCCCCAAGTAGTCCAGGTAGGTCCTCTCTCCCTGGAGGCGTCTGAGGCGGCCCTGCCCCCCTCGGCAGGCTGGGAGGAGAAGGGCTGCAGTCAGTATCGAGGGCACCACTTCCATTGTGCCCTGTGCCAGAGGCTTACAGACATGACCTCCCGCCCTCCACCAGAACACCCTCTGAGTACTATTACTCCCAGATGAGAAAACTTGGAAGGGCTCAGTAACTAAGCCAAGTATGTCAGCTTTGATTTGGGCTCACTTTCTGTTTCCATGGAGAGAGCTGGAAAAAATAGAAGAAATCTTCACACAAAAAAATCATAAAATAGAGGTAGCCCACCAGCCGCCTCCGGGTCCCCACGATTCCAGGGGAGGGGAGGGAAGCAGCTCTCTGGCCCAGAGGAGGGTCGGTCACCACTGCTCACCATTCCGAGCTGAATCCAGCACCTCTGGAGGCAAACACGCTGAGAGCCTGTGAGTCCCAAAGACTCCAGACCCTTCTTTGTCCCTCTCGGGGTGGGCGGGGTGCCATCCTGGCAGTCTCACCTGGGGCAACGCCTGCTGGCCCAGGCGGCCCAGAGGAGTGCCACCGGCCCCATCTGGGTGGAGGGTTGGCTCTTATCAGAGAGCACAGCTCCCGAGACAAACCCATGGGTCCTTCCAAAGCCTGTGGTGGAACCGGGCATAAGCTTCATTTCACACAGCGTTGGTAATTACATCAAACTGCACTGATACTCGAATTGCATCAGCCAGACTCATATTTCCTGCCTAAAGCTTCCGTTACTTTGCACGACAGTCATGAGTCAAGCAAAGAAAGTCCCCAGTGAGGGGCGGGAGCTTAGGAAACCCCAGGCTCTCTGAAGGAGGCTGTTTGAACAACACCTGTCAACAGCCAGACTCCAGCAGACAAAGAGAAAAATGGACGAAGCCTGGACTTCAGTCCTGCTCAGACTGACTGGTCCACCAAGCAGAGAAATCCCCCGCCCGACGAAATCCCCCTAATGGAGGTCTGGACAGAAATCACTTTTATATGCCAGGAGTCCACACGTTTATATGTGGGTGGACCCCAGCTAGCATTTCAGTCTCCACTTCCTTCATTGTCATAGAAAGTAAGAAATTGTTTTCTACTGCTGAGCAAGGGGAATGTTGTGTCTGCGTTCATCAACTCATCTTGAAAAGTTCTGTCACCACGGTGGCTAGTTAGAAGGGAGTTAGGAGCTCAGACTCCAGAGGCAGAAACTTGCTTCCCAATCCCATCCTGCCGCAGGCCGGCGGCCTCCAGGCAGGTGCCCTTCCAGGGCCCAGCCTGCTCACCTGTCAGATGGAACCCTCAGCATTGCTCAGGGGCTTTGAGGAACCACCGGGCCAGCGCCGGGCAGTGTGACGCGCGATCCGTGTTAACTGCGGTTCTGATTGCTAACAGGTGGTGCTGTGAACCAGGACATAAGCTTCTGAACATCTTTTTCTCCCAAGTTCCAGTCTGTTTGGCACCTAATGGCAAACTGATCAGGTTGTTAGTCCTTGTTTAACTCCACCCCAAAATCGAAAGTGATCGATGGACCCTTCGCAGCAGAAACACTGCCTTCTGAAATAACCCCTCGTGGGCGCGTCCAGTATTTATGTTCTGTTCTTTTTCTAAGACTAAAAACATTGCATGTTGCAGGTGGATTGGGGACATTATCTCGTGATGATTAGGAAGGGTATTACTAGACCAGTGCACGAGATGGAAGCCGCCAGCTTGCACCTCGGGAACTCTTAGAAACAGCCCTCTCTTCTCCCAGCAAGTAGCCAAGGAGAAGAAAGATTCCAGTAATAGACAGCATTACAGATCCTTTCTTGTGTCCCCTGACGATCTAAATTGGTACCGCTGCCTGCCCACCATGTCCCAGAAATGGGAGAGGGGCTAACTCATCCCTCAGGCACCACCTAACAGCCGGGACGCACCAAGAGGGATATTTCTCTTTCTCTGCTGCCTGGTTCTCACCAAACTGAGTCAGCATCCCCAGAACTCAATTCCCATTCGGAAACGTAATATCTCCTAAAGATGGAGATGGTGGCAGTTACGGAAATTCAAACCCTTCAGCGGAGAGACACACAGGTGAAGGTTAGAGTTATCCTCCATAGGCCTCTATATCTAAAACTAAATGTTTTTACATACACACATATGTGAATTTGTATGTGTGTATACACAGGTATATGTGGAAGTATATAGATACATGTGTGTATGTACACATACAAATATATATGTACACACACACACATTAGCAAGATTTGGCAAACTGTCGGCCAGGATCAATCTAGCCTGGCCTATTTTTGTACAGCCACGAGCTAGAAATTGTTTTCATATTAGTGAAGGGTTGTAAAAGGGAAATAAAAAAGATGAATACCCAACAGAAACCGAGTGTGGCCTGCCAAGTCTAACATTTTCCGCATCCGGCCCCTCACAGAGAAGGGTGCAGCACCGTCTTCACGTATCAGCTTGTCCTCCCCGAAAATGTACACTGCTTGAGGGCAGGGACGTGTCTCTGTTCACTGTCATATCCCCAGCACATGGATAGCTCCTGGTACAAAGTCGATGCCAAACATTTGCGAGTGAGTGAATGAAGGAAGACAGCGAGGCTTAGCAGCCCTGGTGATAGTCTAGGGTCACATGGGGAGCTGGCAGATGACGCAGGATTCAGACCCGGGTTCATCTGGTTCCACAGTTGGCTCCTGAGGTCCAGGAGCTGCAATGACTTCAACCTCCTTGTTTTCTACCCAAAGGCTCTCCACTGACAAGGTCTCTGATGTGCAGAGAGAGGCACAGAGTGTTGCAGAAAACCTTTAATGTTTATGCCATGATGCCTTTTACACCTGATGTCAACCATATTCAATGTTAGCTTCCCTTGTTAGCTCCACCAACTTTGTGAATGAAGTGAGGCAGACACTGCATTCTCATTACACGCACTACAAAGCTGACGTCAGGAGGTTGCAGGGATCAGCTCTCATGAACAGTGAGCGGCAGAAAGAGAATAATCCAGATTTATTATTTTGGGCACAGAACTTTCCACTATACCGACCAACATGTGTTCCCACAACTCTATTGATGTGTTGCAATGGGTATGGAGGGATTTTAACAAAACAGCAGTCACCCCTCGGTAGCTTTTAAGAAACCAGAGGTACTACTTTTTACTTGGATTTCTACCATATGCCGGAAAACCTCCTCTGCTGTAAATGGGCACCTGCCAATGGCCAGAGACAGCAACACAATCAGAACTTGGAAACCACAGCAGTGAGTCGGAGGATGGTCAAGCAGGCCACACCTGGGGCTTTTGTTGATGTGATCATCATGTGTTTTTCAAGTGGCCAGATCCTTGACCATCTTAAAGAAAGAAGCCAAGAAAACTGACCGAGTCTTGCCGACGCTGACACCCACAGCTGTTGTCTCCAGCACCAGCTGCCGTGTCTAATCAGCGTCCTCAGAGGCAGCTGACTTAGATGGAGAGCATTTGGCTGAGAAATGGCGTACACGTCATGGCTGCTGGGGGCCCCCTTGCCAACTGTGCCAATGCCACTGGCTGTAGGTTTCTACAAGGATACACCCTGGCATGAACTTGAATCTGACGTGCAGCTGCGAAACGGTTGAGAGACCAGCTCAGAATGTTCACGATGCTCCAATATCAGATGTCTGTCTCTATGTCCCTGCAAGTTCCCTTACACGCTGTCGAGCCATGTGTAGTGCACATTTTCCCCCAGCATTGATTTTTTATAAACAGCAGCAGCCGAGGCCATTGTGCTAGAGTTTGTTCCTTCCTCACCTGGTCACCCCACTCACTACAGCACAGGGTTAGGAAACTGGGGAGTCAAAACCCAGTGTCATTCCCAGTGTCAGGATCTGCAGGGTCTTTCAGGGTTAAATAGCTATGATTATTAACTCAAGTTTAATTATAATGTTCTAAAGTGTTGACTGGCTGGCTAGAAAAAAAATTATTATGATGTTTTTTCCAAATAATTTAGATGGAGATTTGGGTGAGAAACATTGGTGAGCTACAGGTACATTGTTCCTTTGGTCCAACTTGAAACTTAAGTCTCTTTATAAAAGAAATTTGTCTGTTTCATCTGGAAGTAACTAACATTAGTAATTGCAATGAAGGAAATGGGGCAGAGTCAAATACTTTACCTACAAATTCCTTTTATCCAAAAACATTTTAAACTTGAATCCAAAACTATTAAATCGAAGTCAGGTGTTAGGTGCCTTCCACGGACTAAATGTGATGTTTGGTGGGATGCTATTTTCTCAGAAGGTATCTGGATACTTACATGCATAGTCCTAGGAAAGTTTTACAAGGGAAGATATAGTGGAGAACGATGCATTTGTACTGTCTTAAGCAATTAAAAGTGTATCTTCTTGTTGTCAGACTTGAAAAAGAGATCCGAGATCTCGAAAGGGCAGAACTGCAAATCTCAACTAACGAAGAGGCAATTTTAAAGAAACTAAAATCAATCGAGAGGACAACAGAAGACATAATAAGGGTGAGCACTGACTAACCCTAAAACTATGATTTCCTCTCCGAGTGAGTCCACAAAGAATATATCATTCTTCAAAGAATATCCACATTTAGAATTTATTTTGTCAACTGTATTAATCATAAAGAATTCTTTTTTCTTATAGTCTGTGAAGGTGGAAAAGGAAGAAACATCAGAAGGTATGTTTTTGAGCATTCTGGTCTGTGTCTCCTTAAGATATTTGTTGATAAGCCCACTGGAATTTTCCCTTGGTTATAAATATATTCTAGATGTATTTTGAATTAATATTAATTTTACAGAGTCAATTGAAGACATCTATGCTCATATCCCCGACCTTCCAAAATCCTATGTACCTTCCAGATTAAGGAAGGAAAGAAATGATGGAAAAGAAGATGATGAACAGAATAGAAAAGGTATATGAGTAATCTGTTTCTGAAGGCAGGTTCCCAAATTCAGATTTTATAGTGTCAGATAGCAGCAGCTTGCTACGACACCCTGTGCTCCCGGATTAAGCAGTGGTCCACTTTACTGACTCCCATGAAGTATGTAAGTCACCTGCACAGATAAGGACAACCAGCTGGGGTACCTGTCCCATGCACTTTACTCCCTAGCAAACTAGGTAAGGACAGAGAAGAGAAAGACCTGAAGGGAACAAGCAGCTCTTAAAAGCAAAGCTCCCCTGATCAAACACACTTTCTTGGGTCACTAAGATCCTCCATGAAAATAAAACTATTCCCCCTTGGGAAGCCTAGGTGTTGTTTACCCCCATGGGGGAAAGATTTTCATAAAACAATATGCCAAAGCCTCTGGGGAAATGAAGGCTTAGATGGGGGCAGAGAGGGCACTTTGCATTTTAAGCCAGAAAGGAAGCAATGTTCTGTCTGCCAGGCAGTAGCACTCACTTGCTCATTCGTTCAGCAATCATTTAGTGAGCTGCACTGTACACCAAACTCAGTCCTCACACTAAGAATACAGTGGTGAATAAAACAGCAAGACTCTCATGGACCTGACATGTTAAGGGAGAAAACAGATAAAAACGAGGTAAAGAAAGAAAATATATCGTTAGGGATTGAGGGTGCCAACAAGAAGGAAGCAGAGACGGCTGGGGAAGGGTGGATGAGGGCCCTGCAGTTCAGTGGGTAGCCCGAGCTGCTGCCATCAAGGAAGTGGGAAGGGCTTCCGCAGGAAGGTGGGGGACATCACCAGGGTGAGCCCGCCACGCTGTCATTTTGCCCACAATCCTATTAGCTCTCCAATGCCAGTTAAAATTCCAGCCGCAAGGACCTGGCCTGGGCCATGCAGCAGACCTCAGCTTCCCCCAAGCCAACTGGCTCTCTCCAGCCCTGGGGCAGGACAGCTGATAGCCTCTATTTTTAGCCCTTTCTCTACTTGAAAATGGGAGTGAAAATGAAAGGGAACAAGGGGCAAAAGGAGAGGTCTGTGATTCCAGCTCCGTCCCTGGTCAATACCAGTTCACACTGACGCCACCTCCCACTGTGGAGACCTTAGGGACCCTGGGGACTCTCCGTAGTGGCACCAGGCTGGGACTTAGCAAAGCTGGGGACTGTGCTGAGCCCTGACCTCTGGGGATGCACAGAGCGGCCTACTCGCCCTAACCCAGGAGACCTGGCCCCTCCCACCCAGGCGTGCAGAGGGGCAATCTGTCTGGCTGGATTTAGTCATTAGAAAGAACAGATCTGGGTCCCCTGACCATCCTTACTATTTGAAACCAGCCACTTCTCGTCTCCAGTCCTTCCCATTTTACACTGATTTCACACATCCTGACATAAAAACCACGTCACCGCAGTATTGGTCACTGTGTAGTTCATGGATAAAGTCAGGAATTACAACACTAGGCGTCCCCATGGGCCCCAGCACGGGGGGGGGGGGGGGGGGGGGAGACACACTGCTGCACGGAAGGAACGGGTGGACGCAGGCTCGTTCCAAGAGCTAACTGAAGCCAGGGCGGGATTTGTGTGTCTCGACAGCTCTGTACGCCATGGAGATCAAGGTGGAAAGAGACCCGAAGACTGGAGAAAGCACGGTGCTGTCCTCCATCCCGCTGCCCTCCGACGACTGCAGGGCGGGGGTGAAGGTGTACGACGACGGGCGCAGGTCGGTGCACGCGGTGGGCCCGGGCCGCGGGCCGGCGCTCAACGGCACGGCCGGCCTGGCGCCCGCCGAGGTGGAGGAGCTGCTCCGGCAGGCCTCGGAGCGGCGCTCCAGGTCCCCCACGCAGTTCCACGAGCCGGTCTTCGCCAACCCGTTCTGCAGGCCCGCCACGCCGCAGAGAGAGAAGGCACCTCCCGGCCCAAACTTTCACGAAAGGATCAAGATGAAAGCGAACGGACTGGCGAGTGGCAGGGACGACCTTGGACACCACGTGGACAACGGGCTTTCGGAGGAGCGGGGCACCAGCCCGACTGGCGTCAGCCCCGCTCGGCCGGTCCCGCAGCCCCGATCCAGCACTCAGCGCGCAGAGACACCCCGCGCCCCCCACCAGAGGCTGCCGGCTCCCTGGGAAGGGTCGGATGGCACGCGGGACCGGTGCACGCCCTCCCCGCAGGCCAGGCGCAGCCCCAGAGAAGTGCCCATGGGGAGCTCCGAATGCCAGGGCCCTGCCCCTCCTCACCAGGAGGAGGAGGAAGATGTGAGATACAACATCGTCCACTCCCTGCCTTCTGACATGGATGACGCGAAACCCGTGACCATGATTTTCATGGGGTACCAGCAGGCAGACGACGAAGAGGAAAAGAGGCTCCTGACGGGGTACGACGGAGTCATCCACGCTGAGCTGGTTGTCATTGATGAGGAAGAGGAGGGGGACGGGGGCGCTGAGAAGCCATCCCCCCATCCCACAGCGCCCTGTCCTCAGGTCTACCAGCCTGTCAGACCAACACCACTGCCTAGGAAGAGAACAGAGGTCAGCCCCCATGAAAACACACACCACCCTTCTCCCCACAAAAACTCCATATCCCTGCAAGAGCAAGAAGCAAGCTTGGGCAGCCCTGCCTGCCGCTCGCCTCTCGGTGCTCAGATGGCTGGAGATGGGACGGAGGATCCATCCCTAACAGGTAACAGAAAGGACGGGGCTTGCCGCTGCTGTTTACTCCTGTGACACCTGGGCTTTGTGTCCTTAGCAGACCCTCTTGCTTTCAGCTTCTCTGACCGTCCCATAGGCTAATACACACTGTGGCTTATTATTAGTGCTGATTTCACTGTCACTGTGATTCACAATTCAAAAGATAAGGAAAAATTACATTTTAAAATTGTTGCCTCACTTGGATATTGCGTTGATTGATTAATAACTTGAAATTCACCTTTTGTCAGGGTGTGGTCCTGTGTGTGAAATGCATTTAAATCACTAATAAGTGGGATCATCAACATCGTATCTTTTTCCTCCAGAATCTTATGCTGCCTACTTTTGTGGCTGCTTGTGATTTAACTTTCTACATAAGCTAACAAACTGCCTTACTTTTGCAAGAAAAAGCAACAAACAAATTATGTTTTCAGGGTGATATTTTATTACTTTGCTATATCTTATTTCTCTATACTTCCATAGTTTTATTAACTTTATTTCCTTAATTTTTCTATATTTTAAAACAGAATGTCAGTTTATCCAGCACACATAACTACATTTTATTTTGCATAGCCATCCCTAATTCAGAACACTTATTTTTTCTATTTTCTATATATTTGCATTTCTCGTCCTCTATAAAGTTTGATGGCTATCCACCTATCTTTCTTAGCATTGGGTGGAAAACCCTTTTCTTCTACAAAATAATAGCTCTTCTATTTTAGATTCCTTGTCAGCACTTGGATAGTGTATTCTGTTCATCATTCATAAAGACTAAAGAAGCCCTGAACAGTGGTTAGAGTGTCGGCCCACAGACCAAAGGGTTCGATTCTCAGTCAAGGGCACATACCTGGGTTGCAGGTTCAATGCCAGCCCTGGTAGGGTTGTGCTGGAGGCAACCAATTGATGTGTTTCTCTCTCACATCGATGTTTCTCTCTTTCTCCCTCCCTCCCACTCTATCTAAAAATCAATGGAAAAAATATCTCAGGTAAAGATTATCCAAAAAAATAAAAGACTAAATAGGACTCTGACAAAATCAATTATAAAAGCTGTACTCACCTTGCTAAAGACATCATCAACTTACCCAGACATATAGATACTAGATATATGAAAGGGGCAGTCATTATAAATGTCTCTAATAGATGAATTCTCATTCAAAAGCAGTCACTATTGAGTCCCAGCTAGTCCAGCAAGCAGACCTGAAAACTCTACAAAAGTGTGTGAGTCCCTGTACCATTCTGGAAGGTTTCTTCCTCTGCACCCAATAAACCCGGTCTTGGTTTGCCAACAATACCATGAAACAGACCTCTTCCTGCCTTTTATGTAGTGAAGAGACGCTTACCTGCTGTAATTGAATAATCTGAAGCATTTCTAAGCTCTTGGTGATGGGACACTTACATTATCTTCCTCAATCCAAGTTGAATGGTGTGTCCTCCACAACGGAAACCTGCTAAAACTAAACATCCCTTTCTGTTTTGAGAATGAGCTGTGTCTGCTGAAAAAAACTATGCATCTTAAATTCACTTTTAAAACAACATGGAAGACAGAATAAGGGGTCACTGCCTGGACGGGAGCTGTAACATGACCCGCTCTAAAGCCTCCCATTTTTTAATTTGGACGTTAATCGGCTCCTCCTGAACACCCTGATCCTTCTCCCCTACCATGTCAACACACTGACCTCACAGAACAAGACAGGAAGTGACTAATGTTTCCAGACAACACTAATCATGGCACTGAACTAAAATAATGAAAACAGGAAAACGACTTCCAGACAAAGTAACAATACCAAGTTCTGCGCTATCAGTCAAAGCATCTTATAAACAGAATGCTCCAAATTCCTTGCCTCCCATCATATGGTTTGATGTTGCTGTTTTCTAATCCAATACATGGATTACAGCGCTAATATGTTTTTATGGGATTTTTAAATAAGCATATCATATTGACATATGCCCTCAGGGGCACCCCTATCCATAGAATACACAGTCCCTGTGCACCTCGAGTCCACAAGTTCCAAGTAGTTTGAGCTTCTGCCCCAAAACCCCAAAAATTGTATTGTTGGTATTTGAAAATTCACCACTTCAGTCAACCCCTTTATTTATGGAATAGGTCCCCTGCTAAATATTACTATTTCCGGAAGCCACAATGGTTAGGAATTGTTTTTCTCTTAGTGTAGATGTTGTCATGAAAGCCTTAGCTAACAACAATTTTTAACTTGGAAAAGAACATGAAAGAGGAAGATGGGAAAAGGTGGAGGTTGGAGAACCTATGGATGGTCTTTTTCAGTCAAAACTTTGAATAGGATAAGAAACAAGAACATTTGGCCTCGGCCAGTTTGGCTCAGCAGTTAGAGTGTCGGCCTGCGGACTGGAGAGACCCGGGTTCGGTTCCCGCTGAGGGCACGCACCTCGGTTGCAGTTTGTCCCTGCCCCGGGTGGAGTTGAGTGGGTAGCAACCGATCCATGTGTCTCTCTCACATCAATGTCTCTGTCTCTTCCTGCCTCTCTCCCTCCCACTCTATCTGAAGATAAATGCAAAAAAAAAAAAAATGTCCTCAGGTGAGGATTAAAAAAGAAAGAAAAACAGAACAAGGTCATGATCTAAGACACAGCTCAATACCAGACACTTCTGCCAGTGAGTGGCCCCAGCAAGCTCTCCCCGGAACTGCACTCCTGTCCCCACCAACTGCACGGCTGGTCTTCTTGGGCATCCTCACCAACCTGTTGTACTTCTAGCTGTGTTCTCCCCCTCTGAGATGTCTGTGGCATTTCAGGATGAAGAAGGCATTTCAGGGTGAAGAGGTGGGGAACCTCAGCTCCAGGGGATCCGTATGCTATTGGTGCCAATATGGCCAACCTAAGGCAATCATTAGGAACCAAGGAGGCAAGCTTCTTCCGCCAAGTTCAACCAGCCAACGACATGAGTCTGAATTGCTCATGTCAAATTACAGGGGAGGGGAGATGGAGAGCAGAAAAGAGAGAGGGGAGCTGGCAGCCCGGGTTTCTTGGCTGTGCATCTCCGGCCCTTCCTGTTGCCCACACTGGCCACACACCTCTACCTGACACACACCATCTATTGCCACAGGAGTAAAGAAGGAATTAGCACACTCTAACAATTAAGAATTCTTTTCCCCATAAGAAATGGGACAGTGAGGAAGGGGCCTGGATCACCCCACTCCTGAGGAGGCACACAGCTTTGTCCTCTGAGACCTTCACTGAATGTCCTCATGCTGTGTTCACTCTAACCTCCCCAAGCTTTATAGAAACAGATTCCTTCTATTCTGAGCCTGCTTTTGCCCTACGTTAATCATAGCTTACTATTTCTACTGTCTTTTTGTGCTACTAAAACAATGCTTACATTGTTGGAGAAAATCATCTGAGGTATGTTTCAAACTTTCCTGCATTCTATGAAATGGTCATTTAGAGTGAAAATTAAGTCTTTTTACATAAAACTTTTTTTCTTTGATTTGCAGCTTTAAGGATGAGAATGGCAAAACTGGGGAAGAAAGTTATCTGAGAGGCGTGCCATCGACCTGAATATCCTTCGGGGAAGAAACTAAGACATGTTTGCCACTTTCTCTCCTCAATATTTTATTTCTTTTCTTGCAATCCAAAAAAAATTGTAATTATACCCATAGTAAGCCATGTGAATAAGTAGTAGTCATTATTTGTACAAAGCAAAATGTTGCAACCAATCTGGGAGAACGGACGTTCAACTTTTCCAGTTACTTGACGTGATTCGGTGGGGAGAAAACCAGCATATTTTTATTGTATTGATACCAAAGCATTTCTAGTAAGAGCTTGTTAAATTTAAGAATAAAGTTATTTAAAATAGCCTGACTATATTCTATTAGTTGATGTTGTAATTTTGCTAACACAAATGAAAGATCATAGGAGACCACTGCCCCTCCTCACAGGAATATTCATCTTTGACTCTGACAAGGAAACATGCCTTAAGACAACCACATCCTCCCACTGAGGACCCAGTCAGAGGACTCGGCAGAGACTTCAAGTCTTTGCCTACATCCAACAGGTGTGTGCAGTAATTATCCTCAGATTTGGGGCTGGATTTGGATTATCTTACTAGTGTATATGACTTTACAGATGATAACTGGCAAGTTCATTCTTCTTGAAATATCATCCTTTCTTTCATTCAGTTCAATGTGAGCCCCCGGTTCAATGACTATGACCTAAGGCTGTTGGATAGAGAATATTTCCATATTCTCAAAGGACACAAGTCTGGTCTAAGATTTGACCAATGCTGGAAAACAAGTTAGAAAATCCTCATGTTAAAATGCTGTAAGACTGTGTACAGCATGTCATTCCTAAGTATTCTTGCCAGGATGTGAAATCCTAATTTGAAGAATAGTTTGATGCCAACTCTCTCCTGTACCCAGCGCCTCAGAGTCCACTCCCATGCGTCCTCCCTGATCCTGCCAGTGCCTATTACCTGGGTTCTGTGGGTCTGTTATTAGGCACAAATGTATTTATCACTGCATTGTATTCTTGACAAATTAATGCTTTAAACATTAAGAAAGGTCTGTATCTCTGAAATGAATTTTTCTAGTATAAATACAGACATTTCACCTGTCTTCATGCTTACTAGTTCATGGAATACCTTTTTCCATTCATTTACGTTCAACCATCTGCCCCTTTAATTTTAAATCGTATCCTGGATTTTACATTTTTATCAATCTGACCACTACCTTTTAATTGGAGTATTTAGTATACTAATGTTTAATATAATTATTAATATGGTTGAGTTTTGGCCCACCATTTTATTATTTGTTCTCCATTTGACCTCTGTTTTATGTTCATTTTTCCTTTCTTGCATTTTTAATTAAATTATTTAAAGAATTTAAAATTCCATGTTAATTTCTGTATTGGCTACACACACACACACCTTGCTTTTTTATTGCCCTACGAATTACAATACGCATCCTTAAATTTCCACACTACTTCAGACTTTTCACTTAGAACTAGCAGTGTATACTTTGTATAAACAGACGCCGGGCGCCCCATCAGCCGTTGCATCCTCAGTGCTGGCTTGTTCATCTGCACACCCTCTTAACCCCACAAAGCAATGTCAACTCTTTTTTTTTCTGGCTTTTAACAGACATATTTATTATCAAGAATTTAAGTAGGAAATTTCCAAAAAAGGGTTTCCTATTGACCAATTATTTAGCATTGTTTTTAGCCCTTTGAGGATCCATGGACTACTTTTCTTCAGCCTGCAGAACATGTTCCTGTAGTACATACATGCTAGCAACAAATTCGTAGATGCCTTTCACCCAAAAATGTCTCATTTGCCCTCATTCTTGAAGGCTATTTTTCTTTGTATAGAATTCTTGTTGACTTATTTTCTCTTTCAGCACTTTAAGATGTCATTCCCCTCACTGGCCTCCACTGATTCCTATGAAAAGTCATATGCTGGAATGTAATGTCTGGATATAATGTTTCCTGTTTCTCTCTCTCCTTTCAAGATTTGCTCTGTACTTTTTGCTTCCAAGAGTTTGACTATGATTTGCATATGCCTGTCTTCAGATTTGCCTGCTCAAGATGTCTCCCTGCATCGGGAATCAGTAGTTAACAAATTTTATCAAATGTGGGCATTTTCTAGTCAGTAGAGCCAGAGATTCTCCTCTGCTTCTGAGATAATACCAAAGATCTTATATCTAACAGGTCCCTGAGGTTCAATTATTTTCCAAATTGTTTTCTTTCTTCTCTTCATATAGATAATTTCTATTGATCTATCTTCAAGTCCATGGGCTCTTTTTCCTGTCGTCTCCATTCTAATATTCTATCCACTGAATTTTTTCAAATAGTTTTTTCAGCTCTTCAATTCTATATGGTCCTATTGCATTGTTTCTATTCCTATACATCTTTTAACTTCTAGCAAACATACAGCTCAGTCTGCCAGAGCTGTGGGCAAACAGGAGCTGAGATCTCTTCTGTTTCCTTTCCAGGATCCCTCCCCCTCCCCTCCTGACAGCGGCAGGTGGCCGGCCAGCAGTGCCTGCCGGAGACCACAGTCCCCTGCCACTCAGCACCGCACGGCTCACGGCCACTGCTCTGAGGCTAACCCCGTGGGAACGGAACTCCACACCAGACTATTCCTCCTCCTGCCCACCCTCGGGGGTTTCGGGCAGCTGCTTTTTGAAGTTTACATTAGTTTTCTGGAGGAGAGTCCATTTGACAAGATCTTAGCCATTATTAGATTCAGGAAATTTTTATCCCAAGAACTTGATTACCATATATTTGTGTCTGAAGAGGAATTTTTAAAAATCTGTTTAGATCCTTACAGGAAACGCAGAATACAATACGATTTCTTTTACATGTGAATAAGATGTCATACGAAGAAGACATACTTCTAAAGGTATGCTCTACAAACGTGAAGAACTTTTTCTCCCCTAAACCAGAGGTATAAGTCCAGGCATAATATATAATCACATTAACTTCTTTGATAACAAATTAAGAAATTGAACTTAAGTTTAGGGCCTGCAAAACCCCCAGATCTTTCCACCCAAAGGTATAATCCAAAAGCAGTAACAAGACCAATTATTTGTTTTTACTGAGGTGAAATTCACATAAAAACCAAAAATAATGTTAAGTGAACACTTCAGTGGCATTTCTTAATTCACAATGTTGTGCAATTCCCACCTCCATCTCCAAAATATTTTCATCACCCCGAAATAAAATGGTATAGCCATTTTGCAATCACTCCCCATTCCCTGCTCCCACACCCCAAATCCCTGGCAGCCCCCACTCTGCTGGTCTCTATGGATTTACTTGTTCCAGAGCGTTCGTACAGACGGAATCATGACGCGGGACCCTCGGTGTCTGACTTCTCTCCCTTAGTGTGGCCTTTGAAGGGTTCCTCCAACTGCAGCACCGAGACTCCACTCCGTGTTATGGCAGGAGAATGGACCACTGTATGCACGAACCACGGTGTGTCCATCCATCCATCCATCCATCCATCTGTTGACAGACATGTGATCTGTCTCCAACATTTGGCTACTGTGAATAGTGTTGCTACAAACGTCAAATTTTTTTTCTGTGTTTTTTAATGGTGGTAAAAAATAATAACACAAAGTTTACCATTTTCATCACTTTTAAGCGTACAATTCAGTGTCGGGCAAGCATCACCACCATCAGTCTCCAGAACCCACTCAGCAGTAAGCCCCCCCCCCGCCCCGGAGCCCTGCTGACCACCATCCCACTTTCTCTCTCCATGAATCTGACTAGCCCAGGTATCCCAAATAAATAAAATCCTACAATAGTTGTCCTTTTGTGTCTGGCTTTTTCACGTAACACAATGTTTTCAAAGTGAACATCAAATTTCTTTATTAAAAAAACAACACAGCCCTGGCCGGTTTGGCTCAGCGGTTAGAGCGTCGGCCTGCGGTCCGGAGAGACCCGGGTTCGGTTCCCGCTAGGGGCACGTACTTCGGTTGCAGTTTGTCCCCGGCCCTGGTTGGTCGTGCGGGTGGCGGCCATTCGATGTGTCCCTTCACGTCGATGTTTCTCTCTCTCTCTCCCTCCCACTCTATCTGTACAAAAATTGGAAAAATGTCCTCAAGTGAGGATAAAAAAAAAAAAAAACACACACATTTTCAATATAAAACCTGCTGAAATTTAACACTGATCCAACATCAACAATGTGCCCACAGCCCCATTAGCAGGCTTCTCTTCCTGGTTCCTTTGAGACGGGCTGCACAGGAGGAGGAATGGGTATCAGAGAAGGTCAGTGACCTGCCCAGGGACCATAGCTCCTAAGCCTACAGGACGGTCAGAACCAGGAGACAGCCACGTGGGAGACAGAGTCAGGGAAGGCTCCAAGAATGAGGATAATCTTGAGCCAGGATTTGCTAAACTAGCTTTTGCCAGAACGAGAGGAACAGAAAGGGCATTCCAGGCAGGTGACCATCGGTGACCTGGGCAGAGACCAGGCCGGGGTGGGCTCGGCAAGGAGGAAGGATGCAGGACGGGGACAGAGCCAGTGTGGATCTTAATCAGATTTAGAAAGACCTTAGAACAGCAGTTCTCAACCTTCCTAATGCCGGACCCTTTAATACAGCTCCTCGTGTTGTCTGTGGGCGTGTCTGCATGTGGGCGGACAGCCTGGAGACGGGCAGAGGAGCGGTGTCTCCGCCTAAGACCACGGGAAATACGTGTTTTCCAATGGTCTTAGGTGACTCCTGTGAAAGGGTCGTTCGACCCCCAAAGGGGTCGCAACGGACAGGTTGAGAACCACTGCCTTGGAAAAAGCCTTTCTTTCATTCCCATTTATAGTAGATTATCTTAAACAAAGACCTTTGTTCTTTTTTATCCTGCTTCACCAGAGTATAGAGATAAACAAATAACAGCCAAAAGCTCCCTGGCTGGCATGTGCTAGCCTGCTTTCCCACTGGGTCCTGGACTGTGGGGCCGATGTGAAGGATGATTGTCACTGAACCCACATCAGACTCAAAATCCTGATAAAACCATCTAAGCATCAAAGTGACGTTGATTCATTTACTCAGTAAGTTATGCCATAAACCACCTATGCTCTGAAGATCATTTTGGTGTCCACAGACCAGAATGCTACCCCAATCACAATTCTCTAGAATTTGTTTCCTTTTGTTTTTTCAAAAAAACATACTTATTTTTATTTTATAGAAGAACCCATCTTTAAGACAAACACTTATGATTTTGCTCACTGCTTGGACAACACTGCTAAAGATATAAAGGCATTTAGTTTAACAATCACTCATATTTAAAAAATGGTTTAAAAAACAAACAAAAACACCGAGATTATTTATTACAAAGATGAAAAGAAAACTTGAGAAAAGTAAAGAATAGGGATTTTCAATTTGTGGATATCAACCACCCATGAGCAGAAGAATCTTAATTTGGGATTACTGAAAAGGTAAGGTCTTTTAAGATGAAAAGGTAAGGTCTTTTAAGATGAAATGGGCAACTCTGTCAATTGATGATATATCCAAATATTCCCACAGATGAATCAGTGAAAAGGCAAGAGTTAAAATATCTCAGTCTCAGCACTACATCTAGCAGGTTCATGTATTTAAAAACCAAACAAACCAAGGTCCATCTCCTCCTTCAAAGAACTTGTCATATATAGAATATAATTTATCAGAGAAATTTATTAGCCTTTCAGGCCCTTGTAATCAAAGACTGGAGGAAACTATTTCAGCATACATTTAATTTTCTATGCTACAAAATTCTTTTATACATACATTCAAAAGGAATATTTAGACTAAGTAGCCTGATACAAACATAGAAAATTCACATTTCAACCCTAAGTACTTATGATAAAGTCCAATATAAGGAAGAAAAACAAACTTCCATATCATTTTACCCAGTAAAAGATACAGGACATATGGCTGAGGCTGTTATTTACACCACATAAGAACTAGGTCCTTGGACCAACCAGAAACTACAACATAATGAGAACAGAAATAAAATGTCTACCTACACTTTTTTTATTTTAAGAATGTCCACTTTTGCTTATTTCCTTTGCCTAAGACAGTTGTATTCATTTGTTACAGGGTCAGAGGAATGTAAAAGGAAATATCCAACTATTGTTACAAATAATCACAGAAAACAAACAAATGAAAAAATAACAATGGACCTTAATTTCAGTTTCTAACCCATAATCCTGATGACACACCCTCCCCCCAAAAAAAGCAGAATTTTTTTCAAATAAAGTCTTAGTCACCAAGACCGTGTGGCTCACTGGTTGAGCGTCGACCCTGCACCAAGAGGTCGCTGGTTTGATTCCTGGTCAGGGCACATGCCCAGGTTGTGGGTCTGATCCCCAGTGGGGGGCATGCAGGAGGTAGCCAATCGATGTTCTCTCTCATTGATGTTTCTCTCTTTCTCTCCTTCTCCCTTCCTCTCTCTCTGAAAAAAAAAAAAAAAATCAATAAAGAAAAAAATTTTTTTAAAGACTGAGAAGGTGGATTTCAAGGAAAGTACCAACCAAATATCCAAATGGATCTCAGCACAAGGAAGCAGAAACAAAGCAGTACGTTGGTATTATGGTGCCACCCACTGGCTAGAAGTCCTCATAGCAGGCATAAAACCCAGCCATAACACAGAAGAGCAATTATTGCTAGGAAGGGAAGTAACACTGATTATTCTAATTCATTACAGCATCAGGAACTTCTAGCAAAACAGAACCACCCAGATTATTTTATTACCACAAGGAATGAGAGTAACTTAGACATATTCACAAGGGTGAGTTTTATTAACTTAGAAATGCAAGTCTACAACCTCCAAAGGTTATCAGACTCAAATCCTATTGTCTAAACAATTAACACATAAAATGCCATTTCAGCTCTGTTGCTGAATATATAAAGGCAGTTTTTAAGCAGAAGATGCACACTTGCATTACATAGCTAAGAACAAAATTATAATATTCATAATATATTTAAATGTTAATTAAACCTACAATGAGGTCAGCTCCACTTCCATTTTTACCAGAGAAGAAACAAAATACATAAAGCAAAAACTGGACTGAAAAACAGTTTCTCAAAAAGCCCTAGAAAAAAGTCCACTGAGATAAACTAGTAAAAATCGATGTTGTCTTAAAAGTACCACAGCTCTCCTATAGCCCCAAATATATTTACTCTCCTCTCCTTTTATCCTGTCATCCTTTGTTCCGAAGTAGTTCCTGTTTCCTTTCCCATTCTTAAAATCTCAGCAAAGAAATATTTGGGAGGGGTTGGGGGAAGGTGGAGGAGGGTGTGGAGGGACAAGTGGTGATGGAGGAGACTTGACTTGGGTGGTGAACACACAATGCAGTGTACCGATGATGTGTTGTGGAATAGTGCACCTGAAACCTGTGTAATTGTGTTAACCAGTCTCACCCCGTTAAATTCAATAAACAGGAGGAAAAAAGAAATATCTGAGTGTCACCTCTCCTCGACCTTCCCTTTAAGACTCAATGGCACACAAAGGCTTGACACCATTTTATAGTCCACGGGACCTGTTGCGTACTGACCACTAAAAACCAGACGTCAGAATGCATCTGTGACGTGGCCTGGATCCGATCAGAGGGTATGGCCACGCCCCAGGAGTCAGCACAGGCCTTTAGTGTCCTGGGCTTGACGATAACCATTACCTGGTCGGTGACAGCCTGGCCTTGGCTTGCTCACAGATGGCTGATCGCAGATAAGAATATGATGAGAAAAGTCACATTCCCACAGACATAAACTGCTAACACCGCCTTTTTAAATGCATGGCCCTGAAAGAAAAACTGACAGATGAGAGAAAGAAACTCCTATTGTGAAGGCTTTTGTCAACAAATAAAAAAGAAGGACTTACTTCTGCTTCGGCTATGGCAAACGGCTGCATAATCTGAATCCTAGTATCATCCAATATTTCAACTGTCAAGAACAAAAACATAAGTGTGTAAGGCCAGTGGGTGTGTGGGCGAACACTACTCTCAAAGCAAAGCCCAAAGACAGGTAGTGTCTGCTGATGTCCAGGGTGATATCCTCCTGTTTCCAGCTACCAAATATTGCAAACTTCCCAAATATTGAAGGCTCTCACAAACTGAGACAAGCACTTAAAATATGCTCTCTTTTTGAAGTCAATAAATGCCATACCAAACCCCTAACAATCCAAGTTTCAAGTACAAATGTACTCTGAAGAGCAGGCCACAACCCAGTGGTCGGAAAAGCCCCGCATAGATATTTCTATCAAGAACCAAAAATGGCAAGAAAAATCGGCTCCTAAAAGCCACCCAGCCCCTAAATGCACAACATATTACACTAGACAATGAAGAGGTTTGTTTTTAGAAGGTCACCTTTATTTGTCACTTGGGGGGCAGGTAGCTGAAAACTAGACTCCACGCTAGTAGAATAAATCACCCATTCTCCACTCATGTCTCCATGCCCAGCGGCTACAGGTATAGTGCCCTAGCTGGGACTAAGACCAGATGGACCCTGCCACTCGGGCACGGTGCTTCCTGTCCAGCTCACTGATGTCTGAGGCCACCTACATGGTAGCACACGGGAAATTGGTCAGACAGGTAAAATGTGTCTGCGGCTCGACCCCGCCCGTGTTCACTTCGGGCATCTCTACGTCCTGCACCTCAGGGTCCACTCCACTCCAGGCATCCGGGGCTCTGTGTGTATCCCGCGAGCCAGACCAGCACGCACAGTAAAAGCATGCCTGAAATTCCCTGGCCGGTTTGCTCACCGGTTAGAGCGTCGGCCTACAGTCCAGAGAGACCCGGGTTCGGTTCCCGCTAAGGGCACGTACCTCGGTTGCAGTTTGTCCCCAGCCCTGGTTGGGTCGTGCGAGAGGCAGCCACTCGATGTGTCCCTTTCACGTCAATGTTTCTCTCTCTCCCTCTCTTCCTGTCTCTCCCTCCCACTCTATCTGAACAAAAAATGTCGAGTGAAGATTAAAAAAAAAAAAGCATGCCTGAAATCGTCCCCTTATATTTGACTCACAAGTTCTAGTACTAACAAATATGAAAAAGAAAGCAGAGAATGTCCACAATGTCTATCACTGAGTAATCACAACAGAAGTATTTCATGAGCTACCATGTAATAGTGACCATCAGTATCCAGAAATCAATTACATTCCACTTGGTATGTAAATGAGCCACATGGTGTGGCTCTGTGAGCAGTCACCTTTGCGGGAGAGCCGGTAAGTGTGGACCTCCAGGGTGACCTCGGTCCCCACGTGCCAGGCCACAAATCCAATCATTGTGTAGGTTTTCCACAGGCCAGGAAGGTCCACTCCTGGTAAGTCCATTCCCAGAAACATCGCTGCCACTGTGTTTATAAGAAAATATATCTGCAGATTTATTTGAATGTAGTCACTACCAAGAGAGGTCATTGTGAGTGTGCCCACACGTGTGTGTATTATGTCAAGTAAAACATGTTAAAAGCGTTTAGGAGATGAATTAAATTAATAGTTAAGACCCAGTAGTTAATTTACTGTGTTTTCTAGTCTCAGTATCAGACTAGAAAGGGTAAGATGACAAGCTATAGTCATGATGTGCCAATTCTTCAAAAAAGAGGCACCAAGCTTTGCACGGGATTTTAGGTCTGCGGTGTCGGGAGGGGCACAAGGCTGGAAACAGTGGTGACGTGCTCCCCTTCCCGCCAAGAGCCCCAGACTATGGAAACGCGAGGGAGGGAGACAGCAGCTCAGGTGTTTATGACATAAGGCATCGGAACATATCGGGAAGTCATACCTGGCTTTTGCAAACCCTGGAAGGCACCATCCCCATGGGAAGCACCTGGAGACAGAGGGCTGGGCCCCCCACCCCCAGCCCACCTCAGCCCAGCTCACAAATGACCCTGAACCTGAGCTGCTAGAACAGTTGGCTGCCAGCGAAGTTTATTCTGCTTACAAAGGCAAATGCTTAAAAATAAAAAAATAAAAAAGTCTTAAGAGGAAAGTTTTAAAGTCATTTTAAAAACCTTAAGCTTAAAACTGAAATAATGACTTAAATAGTTACCTCTAAAAATTCCTTTCTGGATTTCTGTGTTTAAGGCTGATTTCTCCTCAACAACCAATTATTCCAATTATTAATGCATCTAAAATCACTGATGCCAAATAACAACCTGCACTGTGGGCAACCAGTAATTACATCGGGTGAGCGGCCCAGCCACCTACCTGCCATCATTCTAGCAGCCGTTCCCATCGCCCAGTGAGTCCAGTTAAACAGGCGCCTTCTACCCAGAAAGAGAAGCAGTCAGGATTCTTCAAAGGGACAGAACTACAATTAATCCCCAAGAGAACAGAAAGCATGCCATCTCCCTAAATGAGACAGCTAAAATACATCCCAAAGCCCTTTAAGTAAACAGAATTCATCACTGAATTTTATAAAACACACAACGTTCCCACGTGAAGAGGGATTCGTTTGCGAACTAGTGATGCTCATGGAGGGGCCTGTGGGAACGCGGTGAGTACCTGTGGTCCTGCAGAGGCGGCCTCAGGGCGGCCAGGAGGGGCTGCAGAACCGCCAGCGCCAGCACCAGGCAGCCGAGGTAGGGGTGGTAACCTGCATGCTGAGCAGAGGGGCAACGTGGTCACGCTCTCACTCACCATCGATTCAAATCCTCAAGTCAGAAATAACACGCATCTGTGCATCCTCCATGTTTTCCTGTAGCTTTAAACAGCTGCTGGCCACTGAGCATCTGCCTTCTGCCAGTCACACACTGCGCACACTCTGATGCTCCATGCAAAAAGGGGAACTGGCCTGGCCAGTGTGGCTCGGTGGACTGAGCGGCATCCCATGGACTGAGAGGTCTGGGTTCGATTCCCGGTCAGGGCACATGCCTGGATTGCAGGCTCAATCTCCGATAGGGGGCGTGCAGGAGGCAGCTGATCGATGTTTCTCTCTCACATTGATGTTTCTATTTCTCTCTCCCTTCCTCTTTCCCTAAAAAATCAATAAAAACATATTTTTTAAAAGAGGGGCGGGGGTTCAGAGAGAGACACCAGCAGTGTATGCAGGGCCACACAGCACATACATGATGGTGGGACCCACGCACAGACTGCAGGGACTGAGGGCCACCCACACCACGGCAGCCACTGCAGCCACCTGGAACCAGGGTGTGCCGTGAGTGCCCACCCCGGGGTGCTAGGGTGGTTTGTTCAGACCCCCCTCAGTGTTTCTCAGAGCTCCTGTAGCGACAGCAAAACAGAAATATTCAATTGTGTGTGCCACCAAAGCACAGGCTCTGACTAAGGCACATCGCTCACTTTTGATCAGCCTTGTTCATTTATTCCGTAAATACTCACTGAGCACCTGCGAGGCCCCAGAATCTGTTCTGGATGCTTCGAACGTACCCGCGAACAGACACGGAGCTTACGTGCTAGTGCAGGGAGGCAGACGAAGACAATCCTAGTAAATGAATTCTGTGACATGTCTCAGTCAGGGGCTGCGGCAGCAGAGCCGGCAGGACTCCCTGGGCGAAGACTGGAATAGGGGCAGGAGGAGCCTTGGTGAGACCCAGCGGAAGGACTGCTGGCCGCTGGCCAGTGTGCAGCCACTCGAGCTAGACCTGGTCAGAGAGCGACTGGGAGCCCAGTCACAGAGGTTGTTGGACAGACTTGATCTTCAACTTAGAATAAAACTGAGAGACATCAGAGAAACCAGTCTGGGGCACAGGAATGGTACGGCCTGGCTTACTTTTTTGTTTGTTTGTTTTTAATCCTCACCTGAGGATACTTTCCCATTTATCTTCAGATAGAGATAGGAAGGGAAGAAGAGAGGGAGGGAGAGAGAAACATGACATGAGAGAGACACATCGATCGGCTGCCTCCCGCATGACCCCGACAAGGGCCGGGGACCGTACTGCAACTGAGGTATGAGGTAGTGCCCTTGACCAGAATAGAACCCATGACTCTGCAGTCCATGGGCTGACGCTCTAACTGCTAAGCCAAACTGGCCAGGGCCCGATTTATGTTTTTTAAAAAATCACTCTGCTGCCCTGGCTGGTATGTCCCAGTGGTTAGAGCGTGGGCCCATGCACCAAAGGGTCCTGGGTTCGTTTCCAGTCAAGGGCACGTATCTGGGTTGTAGGTTCCACCCTCAGCTGTGCAGGAGGCAACCAACTGATGTGTCTCTCACATCTATGTTTCTCCCTCCCTCTCTCTCCCTCTCCTCTCCCTCTTTCCCTCCCTTCCACTCTCTTTAAAAATCAATGGAAAAAATATTCTCGGGTGAGGATTAATGGGAAAAAATCACTCTGCCATCTTGGTTGCAAACAGCCTGTGTGTGGACAGGGTGACGAGGAGACACCGGAGAGGAGCCGGCTGCGCAGCCCCGGCGGAGGACGCGGCTCCACGCGCAGTGCCGGTGATGCTGAGCAGCGCTGGTCGTGAATGCCAGCCAGCAGGCTTCCGGATGGAGCTGGCAGGGGTGCTGAGAGCAGAGCTCGGGTGACCTCCAGGTTGTAGCCTTAGAAGGGAACTGCCCACAGCTAATGGGAGACGGGGCGGATGAAGACCATGAAGTCTGGCATGCCTGAGACAGGCAGGTTCATGCCCTGAGCACACAGCTGAAGGTGTGAGTCTTGGGCCAGGGTGAGGTCTGAGCGGAGGTAAAGTGTGGGACTAAGCTCAGTTCTTCACCTGTGACATGCGATTATCATCGCCACTTCCTCCGAGGTTTTCAAGCTGGTAACAACACGTGTAAAGCATGCAGCATGGCTGGCCACGCGGCAGGAGAGCTGGCTTCGTGGCCATCCGTGGCCACCAGAGAAGGCCACCGACATGTTCATGTGCCTCAGACACCGCGCTCTGAGCTCCCCCCACTCTCCGTGAGAAAACTCACTAAGCTACAGAGAGTGCACGGAACATTCGATGCAGCCTAGAAATCATCCCATGACCAGGCGGTCTGCACTGACACACACTCAACCACGCAAAAGAGTCAACAGGTGGTTTTTAAAAGGAAAAAGGGATACATGCAAAAATACCTTTCTACCATCATCTGAGAATAAAACAGCTTCTCTTTGGACATCCGAGTGAACCTACAGAAGAGCAACCAGTGTGAGATGTGCTTACCCGGCTCCAGCCTCCCCTGTAGATGAAAGGCAGGACGAAGGCAACGCAGGTGAGGGAGGACGCAGTGAGCATGAGAGTCCGATGCACCTGCAAGGGTGAAATGACAGCGTGAGAGGAGTCACCTGTGTCAGAGACAGGAGCTGGTGCTACCAAGGGAACAAGGTCATGGGGTGAGAGTCCCTGAAGACATGCCTTTGATTGATATCTGACATGTGACACATGAAAGATAAGGTTTGTTCTGCTGTTTGGGGGGTCCTGATTGACTCTCACTTGGATTTCTGTTGAGAGACTGCCTCCTCATCCCATGCACAGGGGCAGAGAAACACTCCTAGTTTCCATTCCCATCCACGGAGGAGACAGATGACGTAAACTGTGAGTTAGATAGTCTGACATCGATGATTGGCCTGTGCCCAGAGAACAGACCCCTGCTTGGAAATACAGTAAGACCCATGATTTCTCTCTCCTGCTCTCTTGCCTTCCTTGACCATCTGTACTTGGGGTGGCCGGACATGTAAGTCAGGACCATTTAGCTCCCAAAGTCTACGTTACAAAGGAATGCACACGGCCCTGGCCCAGTCGCCAGCCCAGCCTGACCCCTCACAAAGCGGCTCTGCTGTGCTCTGCATCCAGGACCTGGTGCCTCTTCTCAATTGGTCAGGAAACCAAAGGGCCAAAGAAGAAAGTGTTAGGGTTCCAAAACCACAACCACTATACCACAAACACAAAAAAGGGGGAGAAAGCCACATGCTGTATATGTTTTCATGTTGCAAGGTACAAACACTATGGAAATTGCATTAAAGGTCTTCCCCCACCTACCTGAAACCAAGCTGATTCACCACAGAGGAGCTCTGACAAGACGGGCTTGAAGAACCGGGCAACGATGACCCCCACGCTGACAGCAGTCATCCACGACAGCAGCATCAAGGCACCTGCAGTGGGGCAGCACAGACCAGTCCGGCCGGCGTCCCAGGGCCCACAGCATGGGACCACGACCGCGGCGCAGCGAGCACTCCCGCAGCCCTGGGGGGGCGCTGTCCGCGCTCTCCGTGCACTAGCCGTGATCTTACAGCAACCCTGGGCAGTGCCCCCCGTGACATCACTGCAGTTTGCTGGGTGGGGACTAGGGCACAGGCAGTCATGTGACTTGCCCAAGGCTACGCCAGGGTTCGAGCTCAATGCAGCTTGAGCAACTGTGCTCTTAACCATTACACTAATAGAGCCTGCATTGACCTCAGAACCTCCTCAGCTCACTCCCAAAACACAAGAAACAGATAGATGCCCCAACCAGGTGGCTCAGTTGCTTGGAGCATCACCCCAGATACCAAAAGGCTGCAGGTGCGATTCCAGTCAGGGCACGTACCTAGAGCGCGGGTTCCATCCCCGGTCGGGCCCTTGTGAGAGGCACGCGATGGATGTTTCTCTCCCTCTCCCTCTCTCTCCCCTTTCCTCCCTCTCTAAAGAAACAATAAACATAACCTTGAATGGGGGTTTAATAAAAAATAGGTACAACATTATTTCTGCATCCAATTACTTTAACTGGAGCATTAACAACCACAAAGTTATTTTCAAACTTAGCTATAATACAATGTATTGAAACTCTACTAGAGTAGATAATGCTGGAGAATGTAAAGGAAATATACCAGATAAGGAATGTTGTCCTCAAACGCTAATATTTTACGACAGTACAGTCTACGTCACATTATCCCCCCACCTTTCAGTAATGGAGGGGTGACTTCCCTGCCCCACAGCACACGCCGGCGCCTTCTTTCCAGGTTCCGACCAGGTTCTGTCGTCATTTTAAGTACAAGACACTGAAGCACAGGGCTGAGTACCTTGAACTCCCTCAGTTACTTGTACGCTGATCAGTTCTTCAACAACAAACTGTATCTTTGAAGCCAAACATCTGTTATAGAGTCAAAATCACAAACTACTCTTTTTTTTTTTTTAAATCCTCACCCGAGGATATTTTTCCATTGATTTTCAGATAGAGTGGGAGGCAGGGAGGGAGGGGGGGGGAGGGAGAGAGAGAGAGAGAGAGAGAGAGAGAGAGAGAGAGAAACATCGACGTGAGAGAGACACATCGACTGGCTGCCTCCCACACGACCCTGACCAGGGCCAGGGACCAAACCACAACCGAGGTACGTGCCCTTGACTGGAATCAAACCCACAACTCTTTGGTCCACGGGCCGAGGCTCTAACTGCTGAACCAAACTGGCCAGAGCACAAACTACTCTTTAATTATCATTTACTTTCATCAGTGGCAGAATTAAGGTCTCATAAAAGCTAAGCTAACTAACCCAGTGACGTTTAATTAGAAACCAGGAGGGCACTTGTTGAGATCACAGATGTCATAGACGCTCCAGTGGAGATTTCAAAGTGCAGCCAGGGTGAAAACCACGGAATTGTCCCTGTTCTCCATTTTTAATGAAAAGTAGCAAACATTAAGATATATACTGCTGCCCTGGCTGGTCTGGCTCAGCAGTTAGAGTGTCGGTCCGAGGATCAAACGGTCATGGGTTTGATTCCCAGTCAAGGGCTTGTACCTTGATCCTCAGACATTGGTCGGGGTTGTGCAGGAGGCAACCAGTTGGTGTGTTTCTCTCTCACATCGATGTTTCTCTCTTTCTCCCTCCCTCCCTTCCACTCTATCTAAAAAAAAAAAAAAAATCAATGGAAAAATATCCTCAGGTGAAGATTAACCAAAGAAAAAAAAGATAAATTCTGCTACCTGCAAGTGTTAACAGTCACCCAGAGATTTCTGAACATTGTAACTTATGTTCACCACCGATTCCTAATCCAACCAGCGCTGAGTCACCAGGTGTAAAGTGACTTCAAAGTGATACCACCACCACACAGGCACTTACCATGAGCCCTCAGGAGGAGCGGGGCCCGCGACCCTCCTACGTTCACGGGATCAGCCGTCACGTCATGCTTTTCATTTGTAATCAAAGGTTGCTGGGAATGCTTATAAATTCGACCTGAAATTATTAAAAAAAAAAAAAAAGGAAAAGGAAAAGATAAAGAAGAATTACTTCCTCAAAAGAGAAAAAAATGGAAAGACAGTGTCATGACATGAAAAGAAAATTTCTTAAAATAATAAAAACCAAATACCAGCATAAATGCCATTCATATGTAAAAGCAACATAAATGTAGATGCTAGGTCAATAACCTTATTGAAATAACTTAGCTAACCAAGACAGGAGTCCGAGTGAGGACTGGGAAATGGGAGTCATGGTGAGAGACGCTTAACATGTTTACGCAAAATAATTACTATTAATATGCCCACAAATGATTGAAAATGTCAAGTATAATTCTTGAAAAAAAATACATGTAAAAAATAATCTAGAATCCTAGATTAAACTAACAGAAGTTGGGCCTGGGAGGACAAAAACATTTCGATGCTCTGTTATGTGGCATATGGTTGATTTGGCCTGGGTTACTAACACAGCAAAATCCCAAAGAAAAGCAAGGCAAACAGTTTGATTTGAATTATTATATTATTATTTGTTATGTATAAATTTAAATCGTGAATGTATCACGTTATTACAATTAGTTTGTATATGTGAGTATGTATGTGTGTGGGTTCATTCATTCTGAGAATCTACCCTACAGAAATACTCACCTTTTACCCAAAGACATATGTACAAGAATGTTCACAAAAACTTTTGTATTCCAGCCAAAATAATGTAAAGAAGCTAAATGGTCATCATTAGGAGAATAAGTAAATAAATTTTAAAACATACATTATTTTTAGAATATAATGCATGTCAAAAAGAATAAAAATAATTAAGAAATTTGATGTAACAGATTATATTTATATACATATACATACATACATATATACATATACATATATATATCCCAAACAAAAATATGTAAATATGTATTAGAACACAGACTACAAGGCAATAATTTCCAAAAAGAAGTAACTTTACAGGAAACAAGCTATATTATCTACCAAAAATGCAACAAAACTAAAAATTAACAACAAAAAGCTAGGAAAAAAAAAATGACCCACCTAGATATTTATAAAACTTCTTTTTTAAATAACCCTTGGGTTAAATAGGAAATCAAAACTAAATCACAGGTCTTAAAAATGAGTAACAATAAAGACAGTTTGTACTGAAAGCCACATGATGCAATCAAGGTTCTATTCAGAAGCTTTTATCACCTAAAAGCATTTCCTTAAAGAAAAAAAAGGCTTAAAGCACTGAAGTAGTCATTTAGTTCAAGATACAGTTAAACCGACAAAATATAACCTAGGAAATCAGAAAGAAGAACTGATTAAAAATAAAGGTAGAAATTAGCAAACTAATAAGTCTAAGTCTAAAAATCAGAGAAAAACCAAGTCTATAAAAAACTGATCAAATCAACTGAGTTTTGGGCAAGTCTGACCACAGGTAAAAAGAAATATCACAAACAATATTAGAAATGAAAGAGGTGACAAAGCTGCTGATACAGAAGATAGTCTTTTAAAGTATGTGAAAATGCTATACACAACTTAAATCAGCTTAAAATATTTCAAAATCTAAATAAAATGGATGGATTTTTAGGTCAATGTGGGAAATAGGGGGAATGTGTAATACTTTCAATAATAAAGATAAAAAAATGTTTAGAGAGCAGGGGGAAAGGGAAGGAGAGAAAGAAAAATCTTGGAAAGATCACCTTTATCAATACACAACACTTACCATCATTAGCTGCACCGGCTGCTAGAAATATGTAGTAGCTGGTGTTTAGATCAAATCTATTCTTAACTCCAGGAAAAGTGATGTTTCTTCTGAAAGAACATTGCATCACACCATCCTCCAGCCTCCACGCCATGTCCTCAAGAGTGTCCTACAAACACACAACGGGTCTTCCAGCACTTTCCAGAGACTGGCTGAAAATAAGACATGCTCAAAACCCTTCCCCGTCCAACTCCCTTTCTCGAAGACCCTGCTGCGTGTTGTCCACACTGCCCCGTGCCTCACTGCCCCTTTGACAAGGGCGAGGAATGACGTCCCCCAGTTTGTGTCTGTACCCCACTTGGCAAAAAGATTATTTTTGCTTTGAGGCAAACGCCACAGTTCCTCTCCCTACGTGAGAGACTCTGGCAGATGTAAAACTCTACCTGGCCACTCACACACAATCAAAACCATTGAAGAAACAATTAGCAAGTAAAACCCTAGTGGCCACAGGACACTGAGCAACTGTGCAGAGGTTCCAACCACCTGTGGGAGTCGACCCATGGGAAAGGTGTGGAGAACAGGGCACCTCCCCAGGTGATGGCTACCGCTCACTCGGAGCTCAGCTGCCCTGTGGAAGAGACATTTCTCTACCGCACCCAGGCCACCCTTGGCACAGATGCCGACAAGGGCCACTTAAGGCAACTGCCCAAGGCACTGAACCTGTCTGTACCATGTGCGCTCCTCTTTGTCACTGGTCAAGAAATTCTTGGTGTTACTAACATAAGCCTCCTCCTAAAGCCCTGCTTAAAGCAAGGCCAATGCTTTGACCACCTCAATAAACCATAAAATATTTTTTTGTAAGAGGCAATAAAAAAGATTTAAGTGACAGAAGCAAGAACTCATCTTCCCCTACAGGAGAAGCTTGCTCTGTGCCCGAGGCACCGAACAGGGACACGTGGGGCCAGGGCACGGAGCTGCACGGATGTAAGCCGAGCGAGTGTAGCGATCATAGAGATCGAACGTGCAGCGTGGGGACCACAGTCGACAAACACGCACTGAGTACTGGAAATTGCTGAGAGTTCATTGCAGGTGCTCTCACTACCAACACAAATGGTGACCATGTGAGGAGATGGATACATTAATTAGTTTGATTCTAATAAGCATTTAATTATGTATATGATTATCAAAACATCACGTTACACACCATTATATACTTTTATTATATATTATTATATATATAATATATATATATAAACCCTGCGGCCAAACCCCTGCTCGGGCCCTGCTATTAACTGTGGGTTTGAGGCTGCCTAGCTGCACAGACATGGCACCGTTAGCCACGTGGCCAGAAGCTGGGCAGGCCAGGCAGAGGTTCCTAGAACTTTCACACCTACCCAGGAGTCCATCACAGGGTGACTCCGCCCCGTCAGGTGGGCAGGTTGGATGTGCACAGTCTGATCCTCATGGATACACAAATACGCATCATCATCACCCTGGGAAACAATGGTCAAGGAGAAATTTTTAAAGGAATTTCAATATTTTATTTTTTTAAGTCCCTAATAAATATCAAATAGTATTTGATATTTTAAAACATAATTTACTGACAGTCTTAAATGATACTATGAATTCTAGAAAATTGGCTATCCAATTTATTAATCAAAATGATTTTGTTATTATATGAAAGTAACACAATTTCAGTATTAAAAATTGGCTAAAATAGACATACATGTTTATATGCCCATAAACCCATCCCCAACTGAGCAATACTGTTAATGCTTTCATATATATTCATCCGAATCTATTTGTATTTATATGTACATTTTTCTCTCCAAATAGGAAAATAAACAGTTTTGTGAACTTTTTTTACTTAATTTATCATGAACATTGTTCTGCATATTTATTTGTAAATAAGTATCTCTGTCTCACAAATTTTCATGACTGTAAATGCACTATATTACATTGGTTTGGGGGGTAACTTTTAAGACAGAACACTGTAACCAAATATTGCTCATGTTGGACACACTCAGTAGATTCAGTATTACATCTTGAGACCAAAATGTCTGAGTTCAAGGAAGTACTCTTTGCCAGTCTAATTCTTATATATCCTTTAATCTCTAATAGTCTCGGAAAACTAGATCTTATTTAAATTACTACCAAAAGGCAGATTGCATCTTCAAAGTACATGGTGCCATTTTAAGGGACAAAGGAATAATCTAAAGGGACTGTGTAGAGTTTTGGTTATTTCATAAATTATGTAACAAGGTGTTTTATGGGCTTTGGTCACTGAGCTCCTTAAACAAGATCCAAGGACAACCAGTTAAAATCTATTCTGCTATTCTAACATGTTTTAAATGTAGTTTTAAAAGCTCCACATTTGAGAACTCTCTAGTACATAACCTTAGCAAAGCCATTATCCACTGTTACGCATCTTATATTCAACTCAAGATAAGAAACTTGGAGTCATCATGAATTAAACCAGGAACTGACAAACCACAGCACACAGACCGAATTCAGTCTGGCAGCTGTTTCTGCACAGGCCACGGGCTGACAATGGTGTTTACATATCCAAATGTTTTTCTTTAAATTAAAAGAAGAATATTAATTCAGGACAAGTGAAAACATGAAATCCAAATTCAGTGTTTATAAATAAAGTTTTAGTGGAACACAGCCACGCCTATTAATCTGGGGGCTGTCTGTGCCCGCTCAAGCACTGTAACGACAGAGCTGCGTAGTTGTAACGGAGACGGTGTTGCCCACAAGTTCAAAAGTTAGCATCTGGGTTTTCACAGGAAGAGGTTGCTGAAGTCTGATTTAAACAAACAATGTGTGTTTTCTAGAATGTCTATCATTAAAGAACTATAAGAATTATTTTATATACACCTCATCAGTCCACCTGCGCGCGCGCACACACACACACGGAAAGAGGACAGAGAGAAGGATAAAGTGGCAACTGTCGGTGAAGGGCTGACTAGTGTTTGTTGTAGTATTCTTTCAACTTTCATGTAAATTTAAAACTTTTCAAAACAAAAAGTTGGGAGTGGATAAGAGGACAAGGACCTGAGAGGTGAATAAAAGGGAGGAAGCTAAGTCACAACCCAAATTTCCCTGAACACCGGAGAAGACGGTGGCAGTGTGAATGAGAGAGTCTACAAATTGCCCAGGAGAGTATCTGAAAGGAAGCAAGAAGCTAGTCATGATGGCTGCTTTGTTATTATTGTTGTTGATCACCAAGAAACAGAGAACATTATGGGGAAGATAAGTTTGATTTTATAGAAGACGGTCTGGACCCTCATCGAACTAGACAAGACCAATGGGCAGCTGGACACCCCAATCCAGAATACAAGAGAGGTCAGAACTGGGAACATTCTAGAATTTGAGTGTTGAGAAATTGTTTATAGAAGATGATACTGGACAGGGAAACGCAGAAAACAGAAGCTAATATAGTATGTGTACTTAATGTGCTTTATATCATTTTTAAAAATATCTGAGATGAGGAGGATGTATATTCTTTGAAATTCAGTTAAAATTCAGACATTAACAAGTCGATGTTAGCAAAAACTATGAGAAATTATACTTTTCATCAATTTTAATGATGAGCTCTGATATCAAAACAACTGCTATCATTAATTTACAAGCCAAATTAAAATTAGGTTATTTAGATTATTTAATTAGGTTCATAACATATCTTCAGTATTTAAATGTACATTAATTACACTTTGAAAAGAAATAACAAGTCATAAAAACATCCTAAAAATTTAAAAATAACCAAAAATAGAAATAACCACTTTAAGACTGTTTTTGAGGGTGATTTATTTAGACTAACAGGTGTACAGATTATTTTAATCGTTAAATAGCATTGCTCTGTAAATCAACGGCACCTGCAAAATTAAGTCTTTTTCCTAAACATTTTTGATGAGTACTACACCAGAAACATAGGTAAGATAAATCTACTCTGAATGAGAGATAAATGCCTTTTTGCCATCTATGCCTACAGCTCAGAACACAGACAACTGGTCTACCAGTAGGCTTCTCCTCACCACCTGTGAAGCAGCAAGTGTCTCTTGGTCCTGCTGAGATGTCACAGGGCCAGGAGAGGAAACGTGTTACACTACTGCATGGAGCTTGGTGAGGATGTGGTGGAGAGTTTTTATTTAAGTGACCAGAACACATACCTACATGAGTACTATGCCATAGAAATAAACCCTAGACACTGCACACGTGTTTGCCGGGCTATCCTTGCTAATTTCTCCTTGGACTCCTCTGTTCGACGTCCCCATGGCCAGCTCCATCCCACTGCCACGACACAAGCACCTCCACCACCACTCCTTCTTGTTGTACAGTCCTCGTGCTTTATTTCTAACCAGCCTCATGACCCACCTCGCACACCAGACTTGGTCCGGTTTTGCCAGAACTGAAAACACCCAAGAGCACAGGCTACTGCTCTGACAGCAGGTACAGAAGGGAAACACAGACAATATTTGTAATGATTGTTATACTTGCTCAACATTATCTAAGAAAGTATAACATTTCCCATAAAAGTAATTTTGAAAAAGAAGGGTCATAATTTCTCACATGGTTTTTAAAAGCACAGGGCCGACCTTGTATCTGGCAGGTTGAAGTATGTCATTTGAGTCATAAAAAAAGTTAACGCGTGCACCCCAGAACTACATAATAAAATATAGAGGTCACAGGCCCATAGTGCAATGTTCCCCAAAACAAAGTCACACCTGGCTTCCTGAAATACCTGCCGCAGTACACACAGACCAGAGAGATCAGAGTGCACTATTAGGAAAAATTTCATTCTTCTATCACAAAATCTGAGAGTTTCCTTTCTTTCTTTGAAATGTGATTCCCTAAGGAAGTGGTGGTGAGTTTGAAACCCGACAGGAAGAAAGCCCTGGAGAACAGACTCCCGGCCTTCGCTGAGGGCGGGCAGGAGGCTTTCTCCGGCTGTGCTCGCCCCACCCCTGTTGCCCGTGCTGCTTGGACAGGCCCTGGCTACACGCTCTTGGTCCTTGTCCCAGGGAAGCAGAATGCTGATGCCCACGGCTGCCACCTACAGACAGAATCATGGGACCCCCAGACCCCAGGGAGAGCGAGGACCCGTTTCACACAAACCCTGCCCCCTGCGGCTAGAGGAAGGCACCGGTAAGACCACACTTACACCTGACCCAGGCTTAACTCCGTGTGGAAACACAGCACGGATGCCAGAGTGAAGACAAGAGCATCAGCCGCGCTGCAGTTGCTGGCCACCGAGAGAGCCACTCGGGGCGGAGAGCGTCCCAGATGACACAGGCTTCATGCAGATCAACTTGTTTTTGATTACACGTTTGGCTGTTACAGAGAGACCAACAGACAGCCAGGCAGATGGACAGAAGAGAAAGCGGGAGGCCCACTGGAAATAAGGCGATGGTCCTCACTTCCCGCAGGACGACTGTCCTTAGACCTAGGCAACTGCTCAGCCGCGACAAGCAGGAACACTCAAAGCTGTTTGCCTGAGACTGTTCTCAGCTACTCTGCCTGCCCTTCCCATCACCCTCAAGTGCGACAACTTGGCTCTGGAACAAACAGCTAAACCAACATTGCTTGGAGCTCACCCCAGGGATTCTAACTTCACGGCCATTTATGTATGTGAGAGGTACAAACCATCCATCTGTCGTGGGACAACGCGAAGGACAAGTAGCCTTTGCTGGGACCACTCATTTCAACCCTCACCGACCGGTCGTCCAGCGTGAAGGACAGGAAGACGCAGGCACGCTCCTTCGCCGGGTCGCAGGCCGAAGGGCTCCGGACACAGAACTTCTTACTCCCACAGTCGGAGGCACCGAACTGGAACAATGATGGGGGTGGGGAGGACTTAATTATCAAGCAAGCAATTCATTCCCAGTGACAGGAGGGTCCCTACCCACAGGCCAGTCTTTGAGCAAGACCCTTTTCATAAGAGGATTCAAATAAGGAACAAAAGACACACCCCAAGTTAGAAATGACCAGGGCAGTACTTTAGATGGTGAACTTTTAAACTCAATTAGTTTTAATTAAAATTTGGAAGGTAACATTAGTTGGACTGTAATTGTGCATAAGTATTAAAGTCCTCTGTATAAACAAAATAGTTCACATTAATTATGTTCCCAGCAAAGATTCCGGGAAATTCCGAGGACTTCTGAGGGAACATTTAACTCCATGTTGACGTTCCGGCCTCGAGCGAACCCTCTCATTTTCAGAGATGGAATTTTAAAACGCAAACTAACCCTTTGCAAATTTTTATATTTAGGTCCTGGACTCTGCTTCTAGCATTCAGTTCCAACTTGGTATTAAAATAATACAAGAAAAGAGACACTCCTCCACGTAACGCCACCGCAAACAGTGGTAGCAATGTAGAGGGAAGAAGCAGGAACCGTCTGGAACACCTCAGTGTCGGGCTCGGGTACGGCCAGTGAGCGGGGGCATCCTGTCGGCTCTACACTTTGACACCGCCGATGAGAATCGTCTGGTGAGAAAGGACCATCACGGCGCCTCCGGAGGAGAGCTACCAGCACTCATGTCACTAGAAGTAACAGGAAAACGCTCTCATTTCTGCTTCGGGTCTACCAGCCCTTCCGGCCAAGCATGTGGGGGCTGTTCCCACGCTAAGCGATCCTGCAGTTCTCTGTGGACACCAACTGGGTTTCCTACAATTCCGTTCCATCCTGACAATATCGACCTGGGGTTGGCGCCAGAGCCCACGGGTGAAGGGCCCAGGCCCTCACGGCTGCCCACTTCAGATGCCAACCACGAGTGCCAGCCGTCGCCTGTGCTCCTCGCTGGTCGGCCCTAAACTGGAGCGCCCCACAATCCCCTCCTGGGGTTTGATCATTGACACAGTCGCTCGCAGAAGTCAGGAAAACAGTTCACGAGAGCACCAGCTCATTGTGAAAGGGTACAACCCAGGAACAGCAGAGGACAGATGCACAGGGAGGGCAAGCGGGGGGGGGGACCCGAGCCCCCCGGCCTCTCTCAGGGACCGCCCTCCCAGCACCTCCTCGGGTGCAGTGACCCAGCAGCTGACACCCGTGCCTCTCAGATTTTTATGGAGGCTTTTCACGTAGGCCTTGGGGTTACTAACTCTATTTCAGCCCCTCTCCCCTCTCTGGAGAATGGGGGTGGGGCTGAAAGTGCCCAGCTGCTAATGACAGCTTGGTCTGTGTGGTGACCGCCCCCATCCAGGCGTCACCTCATTAGAACAAAGTATGCTCCTGTTACCCAGGAAATCCCAAGGGATTTGGGAGCTCTGTGTCAGACTCCTCTGTCACTCAGGGATTCAAGGGTTTTAGGAGCTCCGCATCAGGGACTAAGGTCAAAGAGTAGCAGGAACTGGGGCAGAGCCCAATACCTGTATCTGTTTATATCACCGCACAGAAACATAAGAGAAATCAGAGTCAGATGGAGAACAAGCCACCAGGAACTGGGAAGCTTGGGTTTGGGTCTCTGCTCTCGCCTTGACTCCGTTCTGAAGGAGTTGTTCTCCCAGGGTCTCTGCACCGTCAACTCTACAGCAGGGCCTGAACAGGGCCTCTTCCCACCCTGCAGGCGCTGTAACCATGCCTCTGAACCTCTACGATTGCAGAGTAAGCACTGGGCACAGAGGCACAATAAGAGCTCCAGGAGCTGATGCCCTTCACGTGGGCATATGGAAAACTAACCACCTGGTCTGTCATCGCTCCTGGGAAGCTCAGGTCCAAACTGACTGCTTCTTCCCCTAATGCAGCTTTTAAATAAATAAACAAACTAAGAACTAGAGCAAAATAATAGATCTAAATGTATGGTCAATTAAAGGTGCAACAGGCATAATAATATAGTCAAATGTAATTGTCATACGTGGCAGAATGAAGAAGAAAAAGAAAACAAAAAGCTATTACATAGAAGTATAAGTGTCTTACTTGGTCTTCCTGTAAGAACAAAGAGTTATAAAAAGATAAGGGAAGGGAGCCCTGGTCAGTTTGGCTCAGCGGTTGAGCGTCAGCCTGTGGACCAGGGAGTCCCGGGTTCGGTTCCTGCTAGAAGTATGTACCACAAAAAAAAAAAAAAAAGATAAAGGAAGGAAAAGAAAAAAGGAACTAATATTTACTTAATATCAATTAAGTGCAAAGCCGTTGGAAACCTTGTATTTCATTATATCGACTCATTCTCATGGTGACACTGAGAGTTAGATATTATTCTCATTTTGTAGGTGAAGAAACTGAGACTTTGAGAATTAAATAATTGTCACAAGTCAACAGTCAGGATTCATGCCCAAGTGTGTTCTTTCAGCTCTAATAACCTGCTTTAAGGCATTTTCACTACATTCACATCTGAAGCGAGAGGCCTAGTTCACCAGGACTGCCTTCGGCAAAGCCCTTCTGTTTCTAATACACATTCCCCTTCGTAGGATGTGTTTTCTCAGTCGTAATTCTCCTGAGCCAGAGGCCTCCGTGGGATTCCAGCTGGTGAGCTGGTGGGGTTTCCAAGCCAGCAGGGGGTCCCCAGGACTCACTGGCCTTCACGAAGTAAGCTCTGGGAGCTGCACCACTGTTCAAGATTGTGCTCCAAACCATGTCTAAATGTAGCTCAGGCTTTAGGCTCCCACTCCATGTTTGGTGGTAGAAAGGAGAGAGAGAGAGAGAGAAGGAGAGTGAGGGTGAGAAAGAGGGAGGAAAGGAGGGAGGAGGAGGAGGAGAGGGAGGGAGGGAGGAGAGTGAGGGAGAGAAGGAGGGAGGGAGGGAGGAGGAGAGGGAGAGAAGGAGGGAGGGAGGGAGGAGGAGAGGGAGGGAGGGAGAGAAGAAGGGAGGAGGAGGAGGAGAGTGAGGGAGAGAAGGAGGGAGGGAGGGAGGGAGGGAGGAGGAGGAGGAGGAGGAGAGGGGCGAGGGAGGGAGCTCCTTGCTGCTGCTGTTTCCCCAGTGTTCAGAACACATGCCCACTGCTGTTCCAGACTGTGTGTCAATGTCATGACCACACCTTGAACATGCAGGGTCTTGCACTCCCTTTATTCTAATCTGCAAATCTAATGTTGCAAGAAGACTTCCTTCGGAGTTCCTGCTTAGACCCACAATAGCGGCACCACAACTCAGTACAGCTACTCTCTACACACGTCACCGAGCACAGAGCCAGTGTCCTAAGAAGCTGCCCTTTCAGACTGCGTTTGGGACAAACCGTAAAAGGTTACTTACTGACTCGGTTAAATGGGAGACTGGAGGGAGGGTTGACGGAGGTGCCACTGTAGCTTCAGGTGTTGAAAACGGAAGTGCTTTCGGTTGTGAAATGACAGCACCAGGAATCTTCACCCAGTAGGTTTTATACTTCTCCACAACCGTGACTCTGGAATGTAGGACCGGGAGGTTAGCCAGACCCTGACTGTGGCCCATCACAATCCAATCACACTTTAAAGGGAACAAATAATGAAATGAGGACACACTTAAGAGGACCTAACGAACGTGATAGCTCTCTCCCTTCTCCCTTCCCCTTCCCTTCTTCCTCCTCCGCTCTCCTCTCGTCCTCACTCCTGTCCCCTCCTCTCCTCTCTTCTTTTCTCTTCACTTTTCTGACTCGCCTGTGTGGGGGCACATTCCCAGCGCTGGACCCCGAGACTGAACCGCACAGGCCTCCCTGGCAGGCGACACTCTGCTGCGCTCGTCACCCACAGTGCTCTGCTCGGAGGACACGTGCAGGCCACCAGAGCCAGAGGCTGTCCGGGCTGCAGAAGCCACCGTGAGCTGTGAGTGGGGTGACATCCCTTCTTCACGTCACACAACACGTAGGTGCCGAGCTGTGCGACTGTGTGCTGGGACCGGGTGCCCCAAGTGGAGGGGGAACCGAGACTGTCAGGAGGGCAGTGCCCCCGGGAATGCATGTCTTTCACACCCTCCGGAAACATCCACCCTATGACATGAAGACATCTACGAGGTTAAGGGGCAAGTACGCTGATCTAATCCGCAATTTGTAACACTGCATAAAAGTCATGCAAACTGCAGGGCTGTGGGTTTTATATTCTCATACCAAGACAGGGGCAAACCCATGAAAGTCTTAGCCCAGCACCGCACAGACTCGAGAATCCCTGAGGGCTCCTATTAGTGTGAGGCCACGGGAATGCTTCATTCCCTCAACAAACGTCGACCAAGTGCCTGCTGGAGGCGGGCCCTGTGCTGGTGGAAAACTAGTCGGCCAACCTCTACGTCACTGGGGTGGTGTTACGACCACACCGGGCCTCTGCCATACAGGTGAATGTCTGTCCAAAAGGTGTAAAAAATGACAAGACCATTACTGTGTCAATTATACCAGTTACAAAGTTATTAACTTTTTTCTACTCACAGAAACCGCACGTGATTTGGGGCACTCTTCGGGGCATTCCAGTAGACTTTGATTTCTGTTTTTTTGTGGGGATTTGTGTGGCTCACAGCTGATCCCTAAAATAAAATGGAAAAGACCCATCGGTCACTCGAAAGCTCAGCTCGGCTGGAACTACTATCCTTTTGCAAAGGAATTTATTATTGCACAGCCTTGGCGTTCTGGTGAAGACCATGCACTCAGAACAGGGCTCAGGTACTCCGTAAACGCATGCTGACTGTGGAGAGCCGATCAGCAGGGCTCTGTGACTAAGTTAGAGTCACCGGAAGTGTAAGAATTAAAGTGAGTTATGAAGACTAGGTGTGTTCACGCTACATAGACCTGCTTGTTATTTCACTTATACTATACATTTATATTCCTGCCATTATATTCCTTCCATTAATACATACGAATACTATGCAGCAGATTCATCAAAAGAAAAAACTTCCCTCCTCTCAATATGTAGTCACTGTATTTGTGTAATTCCTCTCTCTTGAACCATCTTATTCCCACTTTCGTTCACCTGGCAAATTCCTACTCATTCTTTGTGGCCCAGCTTTGGGGTCATCTCCTCCAAGCACTCTCCCCATTTCTTCGAGCTTGTGTGGGGTACCCCAGCTATGCTCCCCCCGCCCGGTGGGTGTTCGGAGCGAAGCCACCGCACGGTCCTACCCATGTGCCGTAGGTCACAGGCCCACATGCTGTACTTATATCTAAGGCTGTGGGCTCATCAGGAAACAAGAGTAAGTCCTGTTCATCACCACGTCCCTTGCAGCCAGGCCAGTTCCTGGTATAACAAATGTCTATTAAACAAATAGGCAAATGAATGAGTGACAAAAATTAGATTTCTGTCCCTCTCTAAAACTCTATCTTCAACACTTACATCCTTCAAAAACTGATATAATAAAAGTCAATACTCTATAAAATATCAAGAGCTGTACACTCTTCAAGCTACTGCCCTGCCTTTCTTAAGATGTGACACCAGTAGACAAGTGAGGGGAAAACTGGACCACTGTGCATTTATTTAGATGTTTGCAGGATGTGGGTAATGTCGTCGTTTATCTTACAAACACCAGCCTGTCATGAAAAGACCCGTGGAAACGAACAGAAGTCAGTTTTGAACTAGATGCAAACCTGTATGTCTCCACAAGTCAGAAGCTGCGACACCTGGCTGTCAATCAATGTGAAGGAACCAATAGGAGAGCCGCTCAAATCCTCAGCATCACGGGCCTCTAAGAGAAAGCCTCTAAATTCTGGCCCTGACAAAGTAACTGAGAAACAGACAAAAAGGCAGGGTAAGAGAGTGAAACTGTTTACAGGAGGCACGGCACAGTTCGAGTCAGGCGTCCATACACAAAACTACCCCAAGAGAGAAAACAACAGAAACCGTCCCCTAGACAAAGTTCTAAACTAGCTTCCACAGGCCATCCACTCCCTGAGATGTTAACAGCCCTCTCACAGGGGAAAGGGCAGGCAATGGTCAGGGACTGGTCCATGAGGCCAGAGTAGTTTGGAAAATGCTGGTTGGAAGTAAATTCTTGTTTCTTTACTGCAAATCCTTAGGTCTTTTAACATCCACCTGTATGGTATGAAACTCTAAGAGGTATAATATATATAACACAAAGTGTGTTTTTCACATACTTTACATTAGAGCGTACCGAGGAATAAGTTTGCAGAAAATGGAGCTTCCAAATGCTATGAGAAATACACCTTTAACAGCCAGGCTGCATTTCGCCAGAAGAATGAAGGTAGCATAAGCAATTACACTATATCAAGAAAGATAAGGGTTTAGTAAAAAGAGGGGAAAAAAGAAAGATAAAATTTATTACATCTTAGACTAGATAAAATAACCTTTATTTTTCTTTTCTATGGAGTTAATAGTCTTGTTAATGAAGACATATTAAATATGATAAAAGCATATTTTACAAACTGCCCTGAATGAAGAGTAGATACACTAGGTAAGTAACAGTCATCTTCAGTAGTTAAACACAAAAATGGGAATATGATGGTGTCTCACCAAAACAGGGAAAGAGATTTAACTGAAATTGTATAACTCCAACAGTAACAAAAATTCAGTTTACAGTAAAAGGATGAAACTCAAACCCAGAAGGGTACCTTCGACCTGCCCTCCCGGTGTGAATGTCGTCGGAGCCGCTGCAATGCTGTGCACAGGGTCAGGGTGCGGAAGGTGGTTGTGCTGAGGGACCATGTCCTGGCATGACTGCGTCACATCTCCATTGGGATAATTAGCCACAGAACCGATGCACAGCACGAGTACGAAGGCACCAATGGTAAGTCCAGAAACTGCCATCTTAAAAAGGAGGTTAGAAGTATGTTATCTTCAGATGTAAGTATGTTATTTTCAGATGTAATTAAAATAAAATATATAAGTTTTCATACCGCAGGACAATAATTCTAGAGAATTATTTGCTTTCAATAATCAGCTAACCAAATTCTCAAAAATATGCAGTAAGAGACGCAAGGTGAAGTTTTAACCGGGTTGGAATCCCGGCTCTACCACTTACCATTGTGACCCTTTAAGCAAAGCTGCTAAAAACCTCCACCCCCTCCAGTGGAAAACGAGGAGTCAGAGCATCCCATCAACATCGTTTTAATGAAAGGAAGACAGAGCTGAGAGTCTGACAAGGAATGATTGGGAAATAACTAACTGGTCCAATAAAAACAGAAGGTTTTATTCCACTTCATCCTAGAAAGCTTAGAGAACATATAAGACATGTTTTCTGGATTTAAATAGCATCATCTGAATACATCTTAGGTGACTTCTCCCATCTTCCCACTAAATTAATCATGGTGACATGGCAGATCATTTAATTTGCAATACTGGAAACTGAGGGTAAACAACCAATTGCAAGAGACAGTATTTCTATTACCTATAGCCCAGAGACCTGTGAATTAGAAAACTTATTTCTCCTCTCACCCAGTGAGGTGACTCCGACCATGGGCCCCGTAGGCAGCAGCCGCTTGGTGTCAGCCCCACCCTCTCCTGGCCCACATGGTCTGCTTCTCTCTCTTTATACATTCAAAACCTGCAAACCCCACGGAGGCTGGAGATAAAGCAGGCGGGGGCGTGTTACACATGGTAAATGAAGTAGGCAGGTGGACAGGCTGCAGCTGGAAGAGCACAAGAAGCAATTCATCCTCCATGAAAACAGAGTTTCCTGCATCATCGGTCTGGCTACAGACAAAATAAAAGCACCCAGAGAACCACTGGAGTAAATTATCCTTTTACAATCGTGCAAATTACAAACAAACCCCCACATTGGAGCAGAGATAAACTACAGGAATGCCTGCTAGCCACCAAAATCGAGGGCTGCACACCTGCACCAGCCCCGCCCGACACTGGCAGTGAGCAGGGTCCAGGGGTCCAGTGCCCCCTTTCTCCCACTGACCACTGAAGCCAGCAGACCTGTTCCCCTGAGGGATGAGGGGAGGAACAAGGAAGCAATCAAGCACTTGTGGGGAGAATCTACACCATAAGAGAAGTACGAGATTACGCTGTAGACTCCGAGGAAGAGCGTCATTTTAAAAATGGTCAATCACTACAGAAATTATATTTAAGAAAATAACTGCTGCCGGTGTGGCTCAGTGGTTGAGGGTCGACCCTGCACCAAGAAGTTGCCAGTTTGATTCCCAGTCAGGGCACATGCCCAGGTTGTGGGCCAGATCCCCAGTGGAGGGCATGCAGGAGGCAGCCAATCAATGTTCTCGCCCATCGATGTTTCTATCTCTCTCTACCTCTCCCTTCCTCTCCCTCTCAAATAAATAAATAAACAAACAAACAAGTACATTTTTAAAGAAAATAACTGCTAAAGAGTGGAGCCCTAGGAGGATTTCCTACTCAAACATGGCTTTTCAGGTCCTTTTGTTGGGGACAGGCCTGCTTTTAGGACCAGGCAAGATTTACTTGAGAAGATCAAAGTCATAGTTTCCACCATGTGACCTTGGCCAAGTCACCATTAAGACTAAACACAGGAACAGGCCACTCTCCTGAAGAATGACAGAGTGGGAAGAGTTAGTTCAGTTTCACAGATATTTGTCTGGCACTGACTCCTATCGGGTAAGAGTGGCCACCAACATCCACCTTGATGTCCACTCCCCGCTGTGCACTAAGAAGCAAGTAACACCGATCACGGCGCTGAACCTCCCTCTCAGCTGCCTTTGCTAATTACACACATGACCAGAATAAATGCAGAGCCACCTGCCGCCCTAACGTATGACTTCAGGAAAGCCCAGTGGAAAAGTAGATTGGGAATCAGGAGAGGAAGAAGTGTAAGAAGGGAAGGGGAAGTGGCTAAGAGTCAGTCACTAGGAAAACATAACACACAAGGTCGGAGAGGGAAAGGAACAGGAGCATCTGCTCTGTTCTGGGTCAGATGCTGACCCGTCAAGGTGATGCTCGTTTTTCATTACAGTAGCTGATGATGGTTTTCCAGTCAGTGGTTTCAGGAACACTCTTTTTTCAAACTAATGCATTTAATTCATTGGCCAAACCTGTGCCAGCTGACACAGCTGTGAAAGGAAGTAGGAGTTATTCACGGAAACTTCTAAGCTAAAATCACGGCCTGTGGACGAGCTAAGATTCTGAGGTCATCCTCACAACAAGTGGGTATTATGCTCATTTCGGAGGGGGGAACAGGAGTCGGGGGGTGTACACTAAAATGTGTATACTTTTAGGATGAGAACCTAAATCTAACTCTAATCCATGTTCTTGTCACTCAGTAGCATTGCTCCCTCCTTGGGGACAGAAGGAAAGTGAACAAGTCCAGCACGGATCCACATTTCACGATGGACCATGAGTGGGACATGTGACAAAAGTTAAATCTAAATTAGCCTAATTCAGAATGTTGAGTTCACTCTACGAGTCTGAGAAGCAATGCAGAGATTTCTTTCATGGAACTAATTTGTCAGGGCAGAAAAATAATTTCACTTCTACCCGTCTAACTTCTTCCGGCTGGGCTAATAATCAAATTAACATGAGACGGATTCGCAGGAGAAAGACAAATTAAACTCCTGTCCATGGGCGAGACCAGGAGCCCTGAGGAACATGCCACTTTGACAGAAGCCACCACCTTAAATACCAGCTTCAGCTGAAAACGAAAGACCTTCACTGGGCCGGCCCATGGTCTTTCTGCCCCCACAGTAATGTATCTTGGGAAGTCAGAGTGACCCCCTTTTCCCAAACCGTTCAGCGCACTCTCCCACCGGAGCCGCCAGACGGCGGAGCCGCTCAGTGACCGTGGTCCCTGCACACTGTGGGCCAGGGCCGCACGCGAGCCTGAATGAAAGCTGGGGGGGGGGGGGGGTGCTGCGTGGCAGCCTGGCAAACCCGAAGGCTAAAGTCACCATCACCACTTTAGTCTCTGATGGTCGGAAATTTAAACTTTTTAAGTAAAAGCAGTTCCTGGTGGCAGGTAATCATGTCCTAGGTTAGAACCTTCCCTGACAAAGGTCAGTTTTCACCTTAACTGAGCCCCCTCCCCCTCTCCCCGTCTGTTGTCTTCTGTATCTATAACAGACCTTGGGACCTCAGGGTACCTCCCCTTTTCCGGACTCCTCAGGGCACGACCAATACTCCAGAGTGGAGACTACAAATCCCCTCATTGTTATTTCAATGTGTTAATTGTTTTTCTTTTTAAAATATGTTTTTATTGATTTTTTTAGAGAGAGAGGACAGAGAGAGAGAAACATCGACGTGAGGATGTGAGAAAGAAACACCGATGGCCCCCTGCATGTCCCCTACTGGGGACGACACCCGGGCGTGTGCCCTGACTGGGACCTCTCAGTTCAAGGGTCAGTGCTCCGTCCACTGAGCCACACCCACACAGCCGGGCTTAATGTGTTCATTGTTGACTGTTAACTGTTTATACCCACCTTTGTAAAAGATTTATCATTTGCTTTTTATCCCCCCCAGAGGTCTCCCGCTTGGCTCTCTCCGGCCCCCTCATCGACCAGCAGTGGACTTCAGGCACAGCCCCCAGCTTCCTCCTCTTATCGGAACATACAAAACAAGCTGCAAAACTCCATTCTCTGCAGCATTTCCTCAACCCATTGAGACGTTGCTTCCAGGCAACTGTCAGCTTGGCTTAACTGAACTCACAAAAATCCTTCACTGGTTCGGACGTTTCTTACATCAACCATTTAAAATGCCATCAACGAGTGTCCTAAGGAAGAGTGAACGGCGTGGACTTTGAATGACGTAGCCTCACCGGGCCTTCGTTTTCTCACGTCGGAGACACTGAAGCCGAGATCAAGGGCTTCCGCGAGGATCAAATCACACCGGGAAACCCGGGCACAGTGCCCACCACAGAGCACATCTTCCATTAAGAATCGGCGAAGTCTCGCCGAATGCCACCAACCCGAGGCGACCACTCTCTTCTCAGAACCTCCATATGCTCTGTTTTCTTGCTAATAAAAAATCACGTTCCATTTTCCTTCCACAACCGGAGCAGCAGACGTGTCCTGCATGACCTCGTGTCACAACAGCCAGGGCCGCAGCTGCTGCGGACTCGTAGGACTGTCCCTTTCAGCAAACCCTCCTTTGGAAATTTTGGCCCCTGCTGTCAGCAAACCAACAGGCCAGAGGTGAGCCTCCCCCTGTACCACCCAGCGCGTCCCCCACCCCCACCCCCCTCTTCCCTCATTCAGAGGAAAAAGAACATTTCTGAACTGAAAAGTTTAGCTCCATGAAGAAATACTCCTAACAACTCATTTACAAGTTGAAAAATCCCCACTGCCCCTAGGGCAGCATGACAAGATACAAAAAAATTAAGGGTACAGGCTCTGGAAAAACAGAAAGGCACACCAGGGCTGGGGTGGGCAGAAGCATTAAAAGGCTCTTTACAATCCAAGTAAGGCTCCAAGTACCCTTCACACACGTGGTTATGTCATTGGATGTGAACACACAGTTCCCAGAGTTTAAATTCAAAAACAAAAAAGAAAAACCCACATGCATGAATAAAGTCACTGCTTTTCAGTGTCCCAGACAGGGCCCTGCTCAGTCCCCCTCTGCTTGGGAGTAAAGCTCATTAGGTCAAAGTCACCGGGACACCTAACCGGCCAGTGAGCTCTCCTGGACTCGATACAAGCTCCAGAACACGGCATGTCAATAAAACATCACCCAGTGTCACCAACTGCCCCGATACCCAGCGCTGTCACCTAGCTGTCGCTGTCACCTAGCTGTGTCGGATTTTTAAAAGCCTTGCAAAGAGTTCTGCCATGAGAAAAGTAAAGAAACACTTACCTTGAGGAGCCTGGGCAGCCCAGCAGCTTCCGGTTTTGTTACAACTTGTATCACATTTCAGCAGCTGGGTGGAGCCAGTTTCTCCTGCAACCAGAGGGAGCTTCTCCCAAACTAAGCAGCAAAACTGGATTTGCAGGACGGTGCTGTTTTAGGACTCCATTTCTGAGAGTTAAGTGTTCCATTTTACTCAAAGGAATTGTGTGTGTGTGTGTGTGTGTGTGTGTGCGCGCGCGCGCCAACTGGTCATTGTTTTTCTGAGAAAATTTGGTTTTTGTCTTTAACTACAAAAGCATTTGAAAATATGCTATAGAATACCAAGACAAACCAAAGAACCTACTTGTGATTCGCTACGGTTACCAGATCCAGCCAATTAAAATATAAAATGCCTGATAAAATTTCAATTTCAGATAACCACCATTCTTTGGTGTAAGTGTTGTCTTACACACTATTGGTGATAATTATACTAAAAAAAGTGATTCAGTGTTTTTCTGAACTTCAAATTGACCCTAGGTGTCCTGTATTTTATCTGCTAACCCCATCTAGGAAATAACAGAAAACAGCAAACTCTTTCAATTAACTACAAAGACATAAAAGAATTGGACTGCATAGAACAGGAACTTTTGAAAGTTTGAACAAAAGAATTATTTTATTTTGGAAAATGTACCCTGAAGTTTAGGAGTTTTGTTTCTTTTTAAGCCTTTAATCTCCCCACCCCCCAAGATTCTTTTGAGAGGACAAATATATATATATATATATAAAATGGGCTAAGAGAGGACAATGTATCTGAAAATATTAAACATTCAGACTATGACTAACACACACAGAATGGAAAATAGACTGTCACACACGCCTTGACCTGTGGTCACTGTGGGACAATCAACACTAGTAAATTCTCTAAAATCATTTTAAAAGGAGATTAAGAGGGAGAAACACACCATCACTTTCATCTTTCTCCTTAAGAACTAGTTGCAGGATTCTAGAGAGAGGCTTTAAACAAAGCCCCAGAGCAGGTTTTCTACGCTACCTGCTGGGACTTCGGAGAGATTAAAACGACAGCTGATCTCACCTTGTGAAGCCTCGCGTGGTGGCAGAGCTTTCTGTAGTTACAATCAGACCCTTTCCAGGATGAGTCCCCTGGACACTATGTAAGCCAAATGTATGAAAGACAAGGAAGTCCATAAAACAAATACTTCTCACAATATGCTGTCACAGTCTCTCATCCCGAACTACTCTCAGGAAGCAGACTGGCACATGGAAGGACCTGAACTGTGAGGCTTAGCAAACCAGCTCTCCAGGCTGACCGGTCCCTGAGCCCCCAGCTCTCATGCCCCTATCGCTCCCTCCCAGAAGTCCTCCCCCACAGGCTCTTTCTGGGCAGTTACTTGTCAGTTGTCGTGAAGGAAACCAAACAGATAAAAATGCTCGGTGGAGCCTGGATTCTGAGAAGTGAACCCGCCTGGAGCCCACGTCTGGGCTCCAAATGAGCCCTTCTCAAACATGTGGTTTGGGAACCCCTTTACGACTCTTACAAATTACTGTGAACCCCCAAAAGACTTTTGTTTATGTAGGTAATATATATATATATGTCAATATCTACTGTTTTAAAAATTAAAACTGAGAAATATTTAAATACTTATTCACAAATTCATTTCTAAATGAAAAGTGAACTCACTGCATGTTAACATAACATTTTTTTACTATTGCTTTTGTGGTTTTTAAAAATAAGAATTTAGTGAGAATAGTGGCATTGTTTTAATTTTTGCAACTCTATTGCCTAAGCTTAATCTAAGCTGAATTTCCATATCTGCTTCCTTATTCAATCTGATGTGATGTCATATAACACATGTAGCCACTGAAAAAACTCCACTATGTACTCACAAGAGATTGAAAATTAATAAGACAAATAAAGTATAGCAAGAACAGTAATTACAGACTACAGAGCACTCTGACAAAGGCCCGTGTATTATCCTAAGTTTCACAATGACTCCAAGTGAAGGTGTTAGTATGGACATCCTATAGCTACGAATGCTAAGGATGTGTGTGGCCCAGTACATTGCCCAAAGTCAGGCAGAGAACAGTGGTAGACCAGATTCGAAGCCAGATCTACCAACCCTCTACACTAAACCTCATTGCCAATGGACCAACCTTATAAACCTGCCTTTCCTACTATATATACTCAGCATTTCAAAAAGATTAAAGTAGAACATCTCAAATTGAGTAGCCCCTGCTTCACCTCAGTAAGCCAAACCCCAACATCTGCAATGGATTCATTCTCACTGGGCCTTTAATAATGTCCATTTCATCCAAACAGCCAAATCCATCCCCTCTTCTCCATCTCTCCTCCATCACCCTGGCTTATGTCTTCATTGTTTCTTGACCGGACTCGTCATTATCTGCTAAGTGCCTCCAGTTTCCCATCAAACTAATTAGCTGTCATGTTAATTTTTCTAACATCATGTAATTGTCCTGCTCAGAAAATCTTCACTCAGTGTTTATCAATCTCTTCCTTCTCTTCAACACCAAAGTTAAACCTAGAGATGAGTTTTAACTTTTTGTCTCTTTCATATCTTACAGCTCAGAGTTTTTTCAACTCAGAGCCACGATCCATTGACTAGTGAATTGTAAAATCTTTAGTGGGTCACAATCAGAAAAAGTTTAATGAAATAAAACAGAAAAGAAACCATCTGAGTGCATTCCATGTGATAAGAGTAGTAAATGCTGTTTCATGAGTTTATTCTGATTGTATCTATGAATAAACGTGTACTGTTTATGAGCTGAAATGTATTTCTTACTGTGGGCAACAGCCCAAAAATGTTATAACCAACTATTTTTATATTTCACCTAGTCAATGATTAGTTCCTCCCTTTTCATGACTCAAATAGAGACCTTCTTCCCACTTGTATATTCTAAGCAAGGGAACATGATGCTTTGGAAACATCACCCCGGATTTAAAGATCACCCTCAACTCTAACTGTCATCTGGACCTCTCTGAATCTGGTGCCTCATAGTGAAATGAAAAATAAAATACTTGCCTTATGGCCTGGTTGTGGGGATTAACTGAGATAATAGATGTAAAGTGCTAGTCCATGCCTGAACATAAAAACTCCAATAAAAGGTATGCATTATGATTATCTATGCTCGAATTCTTTGGACGGTAGTAGTAGCCTTCTAATGTCACCCCTCATGACCCCACTGATCCTGTCAACAGCGGTCCAAGATCGGATCAGTCTTCCTACAGTGCTGCTTTTTATCAGTAACACAGTGTGGTTTACCATTGCTTAGAGAATTACATCCAGTCCTCCTGGACTTAACGCCCTCCACCACCTGGCCGCGTGCATGACATTTATGGCTTTCCCAGCAGGTACTGCTGACAAGTCCGTGCATTAAACACAAAGACTCCTTCCCGTGTTTCCACCTTTGCTCATGCTGTTTCCTCATCTCTTTTCTCTCTACCTATTCAATTCTTCAAGGTTTAGCCAAAGTCCCAGTTCACCCAGGAAACTTCTCTGACCATCGGACCTAATAAGCTTCTCCTGACAAGGAAACAGATCATGTTCTCTGAAGTCAGACCTGGTTAGGCTGAAATCCCAGCTCTGTTCTTTCGTAGCTGGTTGACTTCAGGCAGTTACTTACCCTCCTAATCTGTGTCTCTATTTGTATAGAGGAGATAATGATAGCTAAGTGGGGTTATTGTGGTGTTTTCATGAGGTAACATCACTCTGGCACCTTTCATGTCTGTAATGCCTTATATTGGTGAGAAAACACACTTCACATACGCTGCCTTTCCCACAATTAGTGGTTTAATTGCCTGTAATACTCTTTGCTACTAAATCCAGACATGGCCTCAGACCCTCCCCCACACTGGTGGTGACAGCTCCACGCACTGCAGGCCCCCGGGGAAGGGCTGTGCCACGCCTTCAGTGCCTCTTTTCGGGAACTAACGCAAAAGCAGGTGTGAGACACAGGATCTGACCTTCCTTTAAGTGGGAGAAGGATGGGTGCCCAGAAACCCTCTGCTTTTGTTTTACCCTCTTAGTCTTGATTTGAATTTAGTTTAAGGCTCAACTGTTGACCGTAATGAAAACACGGGTGACTTCTGTGTCCTCTTTAATTACACTGCTCTCTCGTGGCATTCCAGTTTAGAGCAAGACAACAGTCATGCTTGGCGATCGCAGCCGCAGCGAGGGCACCACAGATCAAAGTAACACATTCAGAGGTTGTCTCAGCTCCACCACATTATTCAGAAAATCTCCATCGACCACCTTAGAGACATGACAGGAAGTCACATTCTGGGGACTACAATCAGCAGCTTCTACTGTTTCCTATCAATGAGGGTTATACTGCATTTAAATGTCTACCACACCTGTTTTTAAGTCAACTAAAGCAAATGAAAAGGAAAAACTAAAAAAGAAATCAGGGAAAGGAAGAAAATAGCATCTATTTAGTAATAACCTAGGGTCTATTCAGAAATAACCTACTTATTTTTATTTACTAAAAGGTCTGAGCTGGTGGGAGATCACATCCACAACACAAGGCCAATGTAGAGCAAGATGGCTTTAGTGCAGGCGCCTGGGTGCAGGCGAGCTGAGCCGAGAAGGGTTCAGCCTCGAATCAGGGTACTTGATCAGCCTACTTTAGCTTCCGGCAGTTCCTGCTGAGGTACTCTGTCTGGCCCATCGCCCACTCTGCAGTAGGACTGAGCTGGTATCTCAGGCCTCTGCGGGTCATCCATTGCCTTGTGGACAGTCCTGATAACCCTTATCCATACTCAAAAGGCTGAGCCAAGGTCATGCAACAACACAATTTTCAGTTTCCACCTTTTGCAAACTTTTACCTTTACCCTTTAAAACATTACTAACCCTTTTATTTACCAAATTTTAACAATGAAAGAATAGTATTTCCTATGGAATTTTGCTTTAATAGCTCTTGGGCTATGTGACTTTATAAAATGTCATTTACTTGTAAGATGATCTGAGTCCCACTCTATTATGTGAGAGCTTTTAATACATACAAATGCAACGTCATCTTAATACTGAAAAGAAACTACATTCTCCACAGTCAGAATGAAAAGTAATAGATTTATTGATCGAATAAAACATCATTGGTAACATTCATAGTAAAAGCTCACCTAGCCCTGGCCGGTTTGGCTCAGCAGTTAGAGCATCAGCCTGCGGTCCAGAGAGACCCAGGTTCGGTTCCCGCTAAGAGCACGTACCTCAGTTACAGTTTGTCCCCAGCCCTGGTCGGGTCATATGGGAGGCAGCCACTGGATGTGTCCCTTTCACATCAATGTTTCTCTCTCTCTCTCCCTCCCACTATCTGAACAAAATATCGGGGGAAAAATGTCCTTGGGTGAGGATAAAAAAAAAAGAGTTGTGTTGCCCTGGGTGGTTTGGCTCACGGTTAGAGTGTCAGCCTGCAGGCCAGGGAGACCCGGTTTTGATTCCAGCCAGGGGTACATATCTCGACTGGGGTTCGTACCTGGCCCCAGTTGGGGTTGTGTGGGTGGCAACTAGTCGATGTGTCTCTCTCACATCCATTTCTCTCTCTCCCCTCCCGCCCCCAACTCTGTCTGCAGAGGAAGGTAAGAATATCCTTGAGTGAGCATTAAAAAAAAGAAAGAAAGAACAAAAATAAATAAAATAAAATAAATAAAGAGCTGTGGAAGCCCGGCCAGTGTGGCTCAGTGGTTGAGCATCGCCCCTGCACCAAGAGGTCGCCAGTTCGATTCCCGGTCAGGGCACATGCCCAGGTTGTGGGCCCAATCCCCAGTGGGGGGCATGCAGGAGGGGGCCAATCAATGTTCTCTCTCGTCAATATTTCTATCTCTCTCTCCCGCTCCCTTCCTCTCTCTCTAAATATCAATAAAGACAAAAAAATTATCCTGGCCGTTTGGGCTCAGCGGTTAGAGCATTGGCCTGCAGACCAGAGAGTCCCAGGTTCGGTTCCCGCTAAGGGCACATGCCTTGGTTGGGGTCATGTGGGCGGCAACCGGTTGATATGTCTCTTTTGCATGATGCTTCTCTCTCTCTCTCTCTCTCTCTTTCTCTCTCTCTCTCTCTTCTTCCCTCTGTCCCTCCTGCTTTATCTCAAGATAAATGCAAAAATGTCCTCGGTGAGGATTAAAAAAAAGGTATGTGGCAGTCCAGAGAGCAACACCCTGCTGCCCGCATGAGTCTTCACGAGGAAGAAAACAGAGGGGTGTTTCCCAGCTGATAGGGAAGAGAATGCATTGCAGACAGAAAAAAAA